GAATCCTTCACTGGGCCCCTTCAATATCTGTCTACCTGTGGAATAACATGTACATTATTTGTATCTGTTAAATTTTTGCGGTTTATATATTAGATTAATATTATTATTTACCCATGGGCGGGGAGTGATAACGTCTTACCCCAAACAAATTGCAAAAGAAACCAGAAAGTTTCGGAGAGCGATATCTCGTATCAAATGTCACTGATGAAACATATGCCCGAAACACATGTCACGCTAGACACCTTTTATTTGAATTACACTGATTTTACACTGATTTTAAGTTACACTGATTTTAAATGTTTTATCCATTAGTCAATTTAAAGAAATTTCTATTTTCGAAAAATTGATGATACAATTAATGATTGATGACTGAAAACTGACACACAATCCGGAATGACTCCAGACCAAAAATCATGGAATTTCAGGCATTTATTTTGCCGGCTAGAAGGCAAAAAGGTTGTATCTCCCAAATTACTATTTAAATTTTCATTTTTCACTTTACCCGTCTGCACAAAAAATCTGATTTTTAAAAGCGTATGCAATTTAATTGCGCTTTTATTTGGTGTATCTTTTATTTCACTTTCTTATGAATTAGACTATTCTTATAACAATAATGTGCGCTTTCTGTATAATAATAATAATAATAGTTTGTTCAGCTATACTTTTCGTTTAAAAAATGTATTCTATGACATATCTATATACATACTTGTCGGGGGCAGGCAACTTCGACACAACAATAAAATAGATAGTGAGTAGGTACAAATACTTGGGACCCAAGATGGCGTCTAACTACACTTGAGGTCATATTTTCATGACGTCATATGAAATTTCTGGCTTCACAATTGTCGCAACTTTATCTATAATATTATACGGCTTTGGTCGTACGTTACTTTTGACGTCATTTCTGGATTCCTTGGTATCACTTTCCTTTATGTTGATAATACATTTCTAGACTGTAAAATTGATATTTTTGAAGTTATAAATGGTTTTCATTTTCATTATGTTGACCCAGGGGGTGAAAAGTTCAAAGTGCTGTAAAAATTTTTGCTCAACTCCGATCCGCGGGGAAAATTTTTCTGGAACACTAGGGAAATAGTTGTTTCAGAAAATGAAGAAATCATTTGGGTAGGAATTTTTTCCCACAAAGCTGGATTTGTCACCTTCTCCAACCAGCCTATTAGCCCAGGTTAGGAGCAGAACAGTAGGACGTTAAACTCCATTTCATTTCATTTCATTTTACTGGTAAGCTTTAACCCAAGAAAATATTTCCCGAAGCACTATCACTAATGTTAAACAATTCAGTAATTTAATATATTATAACTTTAATTTACGCTGGGTTTATCTGGTAAGCTGTATGGTTAACTTTAATTTGTATGGCAGATAATATACTCTCATTTTAATCTGAAGTTATTGTGATATGGTAGGAACAGTTTGTTGAATTAGAAAAAAAACAACAACATAAAATCATGGAATTGCTCATGAAAACAAATATTTCACGGTCCATCCGTCTATTTGATTGTAAAGCAAATAAAGCAATTAGATGATAAACCATAAACTTAGTGTTTTATTAGTGTGAATTAAATTGTACTATTTCTAAATAATCAGTAAACAAAAAAAAAACCACAAAGATAAACTAAATTCGAGCACACTTCGGGCCTAACGTCATGGATATCTAGAGTACTAGGGCATACTTCATATCAATAATAAATATCTTCTTGTGCAATGGTTTGATCAGATACTGATCACTAGTCTATCTGACCCCAGAGAGGAAAGTGTCAAATGAACGGACTTGCGAACCTCAACGAAGCCCCCGAAAATTTGAAAAGTAGACTGCCCGAAATGCAGTATCTGGCAGTACTTCAAGCACTGATCGTCGAGATAAATAGAGCTTACCAGATACTGCCTGTCGCCAAATCACTGGTTTATCCGACCAGAGAGGAAAGTGACAAACGTACGGAGTGAGTGAAAGTGAATGAATATTTTCGCCAAAATATTTTGAGAAATAGACTGCCGGAAATGCAGTCTGGCAGTATTTCAGATACTGGTCGTCGAGATAAATAGAGCTGACCAGATACTGTTCGTCGCCAAATCACCAGCTTATCCAAACAGATAGGGGGTGTCAAACGAACGGAGTGTGTATTTCAAGTGAATGCATATTCTCGCCGCGTTGAACCTATACCCAAAAACTTTGAGGAGGGTAAAAGGCACTTTTCAAGTGATTCACATGTTATTGATTATAGTAGGTTTACAGCAGGATGGGCTTGTAAGAAATCACTCAGCAGGCTGTACAACATGCCGTAGGGTATTGATTACCGAAACGTATCACAAATATTATTTTCTAAAATTATTGGGAGGGGGGGGGGGGCAAACAGAGTGCAGACCAGATTAGGTGACTTACCTGAATTCCAAATCCAAAACAACCAATCAATGGTCGCGGGGTATGGGGGACTCGCGCTCTCCCAGAAAATTGTGAAAATTTAACCGCCGCAAATGCGTTTTTCTGCTATTCTAGCTAGTGAATTAAGCAACGTCAAAGTTCCCAATCGGTTTGCAACCGAAATCCCACTCTTTGCCGACTTGAATCCCAACCATCCAATCAGACTTGCAGCTGCATTCACAAATAATAATCGATGCCCGAAATATGTCGAACAAAGTAGAGTGGCTCCAAACAAAATGTTTTAATCCATAGTAAATTCAGTACAAATTCGTTGTGTTTAATTAAAAGAAAAGTAAAATTAGTGTTTTATTTGATTTCGGCCACTTTATTTTGCCAACAAGATGAAATAATTTTTGTTTTCACATTACCCGTCTGCCCGAAAAGTCAGATTGCCCGAAAGTTAGGGGACAGCTGCCCCCCCCCCCCCCCCCCCCCCCGTGGCTCGTACGCCTATGCCTCTGAGTACGACAAACAAATAATGAAATGAAATAAAATGGAGGTTTAACGTTCTACGTCTCTATACCGACTGGAGTTATAGACACATACTTTTCCCATACAGTATGCTATTAACGAAATGCTGCCCGTGGGAAAACATAGAAAGAGTTCTGAAAAACAACATGTGTTGGATCTCAACACAAGTACTTGTGTTAAAACTAATCTACACAAGTACTTGTGTTAAAACTAATCTACACAAGTTATGTGTTGTTTTGCATTGCATTAACACAAACTTGTGTGTCGATTTATAAAATCTTGTGTTTTTTTCATATCATTAACACAAGTAATGTGTACCTTCCAAGATTTGTTTTCTTTTTTAAAAAAAAACTCCATACAAAGTCTGAATTCGGGAGTCGTCAAGTTTTAAGAAAAGTAATAAAGGGCTTAATTCACATCTCGAAAATCACATGCTGTTCTTCACTGGAAGGGTGTGAGTACCAATTAATCAGACAATTGCCAGACAGACTTGAATGTTAATTGATGTTAAGTTGTCTGTATAGTTAAAATGTCTGTCTTTTTTTATTGACCCAATAAACTGATAGATCAAATGAATATATAGTGTACATGTGATTTTCAGCACCCTGGTGTTTTCGAAAATTGATTCAATGTACAATGAACAAAAAAAACGAGTAAAACTCTTAATAATGTAATTGGTTGATGTAATCGAAATTGGACAGTATTGGTTAACTGAAAAGTAACCAATCAAATTTAATTGATCATCCACGTGTATCTCATAATCGACTTATTGATATAATGGTTCTCCAAGTTATCTATACTTTTTGTCTGCGATATCACTTCGGTGGAAGCGGACGTAAAATACAACTAACTAAGAAGAAGTATCTATACTTTAGTCATTGCGACAAATTCTTTCTTTGATATTATATCAGCGACATTCAGTTAGATAGATGTAGTGAAGTTAGCATCAACAGGGTGCTTTATAGCCGTGATATTTTAAAAAAAATTATAATGGTCACATAGAATACCAGACCGCAGGTTTGTAAATTTTTACAAAAAATAAAACCGTGTATTTAATTTAGCATGTATATATTGCTTCTATGTATATAATAATTCGTTTCGTCTAAAACAGTCAGATTTAGAACTACTGCCACTGACTGCACCGGAAGTCTACTTATATAATGGCGCCACAAAGAAAATTCAGCAATCTAATGAATCTGTCTTAATTTTTCTGAAATCGTGCTTAATTATTATTAGCTAATCGGCGCTACACCGTTGTTCAAATACTTATAATTGCAAGAAACCCCCGACTAGGACCAGCAGGTAAGAATCTGTCTTGATTTTATAGTAATACCCGGTTGCAATTATTGGCCGCCATCTTTGATTTTTATAGACGTTCGGGCAAAAGGAAAAATGTATATCCAGACATGGACTATAGCTAGATACTAACTTTTGTGTTAGTTGTTTAGTTGAAATGTAATCTTATTTCTGTAAAAGAAAAAAACAACAACAAACAAATCAGCCTTTTTTATATATCAATGTCATCAATGTGTAGGCCTAATATTAGACTTTCAATGATTCAGAAGTTTCTCTACAGTTTCGTTATTTTTTTTTCCAGTCATTGATGTTAGCATGTACTACACAAAGAAAAACAGGTAACAGAATTTCATTTCCTTTTAATATATTTTTTTAATAATGGCCAATAATTGTTATTGTATGTAACACGAAAAGTATTTATCTCTGTAGAGAGAGGGCGAGTAAATGGGGTTTAAAGTTCACTAAATTCACTTGACACAAACTCTGCCATTCATTTCCTATTAAATTCGTGGAATCAAGTAGGTCCATGCTATATATATGTCCTAGAATCAAGTAGGACAGGTAGTCTTCTTCCGTTTCCGCCCTTTTTCTGAACACTGTCTCATTCTATTGCCATCTGTGTATGTTGTGTTATATTAATTCTGCATAATTAACTCTAGTTAACCTAGTTAACTCTATAATAATAAATGAATTTAATATATAAATAAATAAATAAAATATAAATAAACCAATAATATATTTGTAGTTTAATATGTTTTATCTTATCATTACAGGCAAAGCATGACTTCATCATGAAGCCAAAGGAAATGTTTTTACCAAGGCACGTTCCTCAATAGCGGAGAGAGTTTTATCCAGTGTCGGTTCTGCAGAAGAACCCATTCATAGCAGACCACCCATTGCAGCACTTGTAAGGTCGCGATAAAGAACCCGACAGACTCTGCGACCAAAAGATCCCACTGACGTGTCGTCAAGCATAAGTACTCATGCAATTAAATACCCATGTATATAAGAATTTATTAACATGTAATTAAATGTACAATTTTATTTATTTATTAACATGTACTTAAATGTACTTTTTTATTTATTTTTTGTTTTAGCTTGACGAAGATTTCATCGATCATAGTGCACCGGGATTTTATCAAAAAAGAGTAAAAGTTGGGAAAAGGCGCCATCACATTTTTAGTACTGATAGACAGATGCAACTACTCGCACGCGCAAAAACTTGGTATATGGATGTAATTTTCGGGTGGTGAACAAGCCATGGTCTCAGCTGTTTTCCATCCACGCCTTCATTAAGACTGGAGAGACCACCCGACAGTTACCATTGGTGTTTTGTGTAATGTCGGGTAAAAGCCAAGAAGACTATTATAAGGTAAATAGCACTTACTGATTGAATTACTATTAATAGTAAAAAAGGACTATTATTTGGGACCTTGAAATTGTCACAAATGGGTCGCACTAACAGCGACATTTGTTTCAGGCATATTTGTTTCATCGGTGACACGTCTGGTGTCATGTGAATGCAACGACAACAGCCTGGTTGATTGATTTGTTGATTGGAGTTCAGATGTCTACATTAAAATCGACCACTTTCAGGTTGCCGTATTCACGGCCAGGCAAGACTGACTTGAAATTTCTAGAAATTTTTCTGGGGGAGACAGGCCCCAACAAATCCCCCGACGGTGCGTTTCATGACTTTGGCGCAAGACGGTGACCTTGAAGCGACGTCGAAAACCATTTAATAGACATAGTAAAAGTCATATCTTACGAAATTATCGCTGGTCTTGTCAGAAAATGTTATTTTATATATGACCAGTTTGTGTTTGAAAAATTTAATTATTTATTCTCCCACCATTAAAGCACACTAATTACGAAATATCGCTCTCAGAAACTTCATGGTTTCTTTTGCAATTTGTTTGGGGTAAGACGTTATATAAATAATATCAATCTGTCTACCACACATATTTAACAGATACAAATGCATGTTATTCCACAGGTAGACAAACAGGGCCTCCTTTGAAGGGACTCAGTGAAGGGAACGCGGTTGGTTTAGAGTTTGTCTGACCCCTTTGAATATTTGCGTCTCATCTCCAATGAAAACAATCATGTTGCTCTCATGCTGTTCTCAACCAGAATCAAACATATATCGTACCTGAGATTTGTTAGCATGTTCCACACAACCCAACATTTATCGGCACCGGGATTAAGGGTGTATATCTTTGTTTCTAACGCTTATTGGGAATACGCCACGGAAACTACAATAAAAAATTATTTACAAAAACATTCTAAAGAGGGAAAACTGACATATTTCAAGCTTTACTGTATTTAAAGAAATTATTTAAATCAGCCGGCTGAAACCCCGTCTCTGCTATTTGTTCAGTCATTCTTTAGGTATAGTGCCAGTTTCCACCGACAATGATATTGCAAACAAGTGTCCAATCTATAAAAGCATACATTCCTACAAAATGTTTCTTTAGTCAAGTGAAACAATAAATTCATAACTATGTGAAGGTGTGGAGAGTAAATTCGTGGTAACAAGTGTGAATAGGCTAATGTGACATAGAACAAGGTCACATTGATGTTGACAAATACGTAAGATGAAATGAACATCAACTAAAAAGATATGTAATGTGATTCAGCTGCAAGGTGATATATGCATATATGCAGCATAGATAATTAAAACTTCTATTCAAGTTAAACCAACTGTATCTATTTATTTAAGTCTTACGTCGAGCTGAATACATTTTATGATTTATTGTCATCTATTGGTGGTTAACAGTGTGTAACTAAAAACTAAAATTGGATCTTATTATTGCCAATGATATAATGTACATGTAATAGCAAGTGTATATATATTTTTTGTTCATTCTGTACACAGTAACATATCTGAGAACCATATTATTATCATTTCTGCCCAAGGCTCCCTGTGCCTTATAGTTAGCAGTGATACAAGGCAATTACCAATTTTCCATGTTCTTGGCCTGAAGAAATAAAATAATAAAAGTCAAGTTTTTATTATTATGCAAGTGGAAAAATACAATTATTCATAGTATGATTTGAATAAATACAACTGATTTGAAGTTGGAATTATTATTTGTCTAAGATGACTGAGCATTTACAAGTTGAAATAGCTACTCTTCATCAAGAAAATACATGAATATTTTTCCCAATTCACCTGGATTTTATTGTAGGTCTTTGTACGTGAAATAGCTTTATTTAACGTCCGCTACCACCGAAGTGATATTGCAGAAAATTAACAAATTCGGATTCCCTTTTAAAGGAAATTGACTGCACTATCGCTGGATTGTATTATATAGGTCATGTCAGTTTTTTTTCAAAATGGCGCCCAGAACACAAAACAAACATTGCAATTCAGGGCTGACTGGTGTCGAGGCTGTATCCTAAGAATGATTTTTTGAATATTTAATCACACAGAAACACAAGTATGCACATGCAGTTATGATATAATATTAAATTAGCTTACCTCAAATACCTCGAAATATACTGTTTGGTCAGTTTGTCCGCCCGCCATATTTCTATTAGTCACACATCCTTCGGCCAATTAAAATGGACCTGTATTTTGTTTTAACCGAAACGAAAAATTTGCGTTATAAATAGTTAACGAGCTTGATTGACCGACCACTGCTAATGTTTTTTCGTGAAACGGTATAACTGAAATCAACACACGGCCGCCATTCTCGATGATTGACAACTCCCGTTTTTCCTCATCCACCAAAGAACCGTTAGGTTTCTTTGAACATACTGTAATAACATTGGGATTATCAGTTAATCAGCTTTAATTATCCCGCTTTGATCGTTTCCATTTCTTATATTTTCCACAAAAAAACTTTGCCTTGTACGCACTAATTTATCAATTGGTATTGCCATCTACAACAAGCATGTCAACGTGCAGCTCACGGATTATCGTTAACAATTTCTAGGGGCTTGTAAAAAAAGATTGCATGTCGTGTAAATATTTATTTTGTTTTTTGTGTAGGTCATTTTCAAATAAATTCATCAGCATATTATTCGTTTTAAATAAATATAAAACTTTTATGAGAAACGATGATTATCAAAGAACCGTAAGTGCAACTAATGTTTTATCGTTTGGTTGAGCCTTTTACTAACCACGTGTTTCATGTTAATAAATATTTTCTTTCGTGTTTTGTTTGAATTGGCCTATTTCTAATAAATTATCCCGAGTCCCAAACGTCGTTAACCCGAGTCCCAAACGACGTATACCAAAGTCCCAAACGTCATATACCGGAGTCCCAAATGACGCGAGTCCCAAATGACGTGAGTCCCAAATGACATGTAATCAACCTAGAGTTGTTGTTAGTGTTTGTCGGATAGATCCTTTATACTTACTGGCGCTAGGTAATTTCGAGGCTAATATTGTTCAATTTTATTTGAATGATTTGCTTGCGCGTACCGTAGGAGTGTATTAGAAACAGTGTTTGCGCAGGTTCGAGAACGGCTGAAGAACATGAAAACACTTTCGTGAGTCTCGAACATGAGAGAACGGTATCCATGGTAACAAGATGAATTAAATTTATACAATCTGTTACGATAACTTGTTTAGTATTTACTTCGCTATTAAGCATAATTTTGATAAATTATGACACCGTTTTACTCCTTTTCAATTCTTTGGATGACGATTACATCACCTTTTGATACGCCCTCGTCCGTAGGTTTGTCCGTCGTCTACAGAACTGATTATTTTGAAATTGATATGTTGTTTATTTTAATGAGATGAATCCTATTTAATTTCAATAATTTCTGTTAGTTTCTTCTGGAGTTATGGCCCTTGTTTCACTTTGTGAAATTCATTTGAATCTTTTAAATTAGTGAAACGAAGACGTCTATTAAATTTCTGCGATTTCTGTGAATTATGTCTAGAGTTGTGGCCCTTGTTTCACTTTTTCGAACCTTGTGAACGCGCGAACAACAAAATTATCATCCGATTTGTATGAAAATTGTATGCATTATTTAAATTAGTAAAACACAAAACAAAAAAATCTGTCAAATTTCAACAATTAAGGCCCTTGTTTCAGTTTGTAGAACCTTTGTAAACCCACAAACGTCGAAAATTATAACCTTGTATTAAATTTTCTTGTAAATGCCCACATTACCTACAAAAGAATGAATATGCGACAATCCCTGTTGACTGCGCAAACGATCAAACTGCTGTGGGCATATGTTTCGTTGCCTTGCAACCTAACTTACTTGATGTTATACTGGCCACATACTACATCCAATTTTCGAACGGTATTAAACTTTTAAATTAATAAATGCACCCATGATGCTGTTTTCTCAGCAGTTATCGATGCGTCGACCTTTGTAAACCCACAAACGACGAAAATTATAATCTTGTATAAAATTTTCTTGTAAATGCCCACATTACCTACAAAAGAATGAATATGCGACAATCCCTGTTGACTGCGCAAAACGACGAAAATTATAATCTTGTATGAAATTTTCTTGTAAATGCCCACATTACCTACAAAAGAATGAATATGCGACAATCCCTGTTGACTGCGCAAACGATTAAACTGCTGTGGGCATATGTTTCGTTGCCTGGCAACCTAACTTACTTGATGTTATACTGACCACATACTACATCCAATTTTCGAACGGTATTAAACCTTTAAATTAATAAATGCACCCATGATGCTGTTTTCTCAGCAGTTATCGATATGTCGACCATGTTTGTTCTCCCTCACACCAGCTATGAGGTAGTGTGGGATTTGAGAACGGGAATGTGTTCGTGAACGCATTCCAGACTGCTCAAGTCCGACAAGAACCCATTCTCCATCCGTTCTCTGCACCGGAACACTGTTTCGAATACACCCTAGGGGTATTTAGCAAAGGGAGGAAACCGGAGGACCAGGAGAAAACCCACAAGGCTGGACAGGCGACCCTATTCCTAGTCACATTCAAGTGGGGAATCACATAATAATGGCCTATTTCAAATAAGATATTTGCATATAAAGAAAGTAGGCTTACAGCCTCTTTCAAATGTGATATTTGCATATAAAGAAAGTACAAACTTAAATCGTCAGTGCTGGATAAACTAGCCAAAGGATTTGGCTGAATCAATTGGCGCTAAACTTCACCTAGTTTATCCACTGACATACGCCCGAATCAAACATGTTTGATATATTTGGCCAAATTGTATTTGAGTGGTGTGTCCGCTTCGCCGAAGCATTCGTCTGATTTTAGAATTCATTAGCCAATCACCACTCATTCATATCGAGTGGGTATTGCAAACTTGCAGTCGAACTGTGACACGGGTGCTACAGCCAACAAATTCCAACTACCATACTATCGGCTTAAATGCACGCCAATGGGACCTCAGGTTTTGTGTTCCATTGAAACGACTAGAAATGAAATGAAATGGGGTTTAACGTCCTACTGTTTTGCTCCGAACTGGGCTAATGAAGACAGGCATACACCACACAGTGTGCTATGAGGGAAATTTTGCCCGGACAGCGGCACTGCGGTGTATCGAATTCCAACTGTCAAGGGATCTTTTACGTGCACGCCAACGTGTACACGGGACCTCGTTTTTTCATTTCATCTGAATGACTAGACAGCTGTCCTTGTCAGGCCCTCCGTCCTGCATCACTGACATGGGGGAACCACGCCGGGAAATCTGGGTGAACACCCGACCTTCAGGCTAGCGAGCCAGCGTCTTACCCACTTAGCCACCATGACGACTAGGCATGGAATCCATGCTGAAAAATTCAAATGAGCTTTCTCGGTCAACACTGGGAGCCAACCCGCAACCTCCCGGGTACCAAGCCAGTGCCTTACACACTAAGCCACATGACTCTCTTCTAATTACTGTGACAGTCCAGTCACATGACAAACAAGGGTTATTAAAACAGATTTTCAAGGCTTGGGTAAGATCTTCGGGATTCAAATGGTTTTAGAAATCACACAGTTTGTATATGGTAAGGTATCTTAAACGGTTTATTACATGTCACATATTCATATTTTTCAGTTTCCATATTAGATGCCATAGCAAATCAAAGATCATATAATAAAATAAGTCAAAAAACCCAAATATGGAAAAAGAAAGAGCTGAAGAAATGGTGATTTGAGCACCTATGCTTTCTCATAGGTGTTTTTGGAGGGTGAGTGTTCAATTCTAATAGAAAAGATTGTTGTTATGGTATTTTAGAATCTCACCATAATGTGTTTGGCACAATATATCCCGGTTGGAGCTGATGTGACATAAACCTCCATTTCATTTTATTGTTTTGAAATTTAAAATTCAGTTTAGTATAGTAAATTTGTACACGTACATGTATGTGCACAAACAGAATCTTACTTATGTCCAGATACATGTAGATATGACTGTCTCATCTGTGGGGGACCACGGTGGCCAAGTGGGTTAGACACTGGCTCGCATATTTTAAGGTCGCAGGTTTGCAGTAAGACATTGCAGTACGGAGGACTGGGCTAATGAAGTTGGGCATATGCCATACAGTGTGCTACGAGAGAAATTTTGCCGGGTACCGTGACCTTAAGGCCTTCTCTTGTATCAAATTCTAACTGCCAGGGTAGCTTTTACATGCACGCCAATGTGTACATGGGACCACGCTTTTTTGTTCGATCTGAATGACTAGACAGCTGTCCTTGTCAGGCCCTCCGTCCTGCATCACTAACAAGAGGAAACCACGCCGGAAAATCTGGGTGAACTTTCTCGGCCAATGCAGGGATCGAACACCCGACCTCCAGGCTAGCGAGCCAGCGTCTTACCCACTTAGCCACCATGACGACTAGACAGGGAATCCATGCTGAAAAATCCAAATGAGCTTTCTCGGTCAACACTGGGAGCAAACCCGCAACCTCCCGGGTAGCAAGCCAGTGCCTTACACACTAAGCCACATGGCTCTCTTTTAATTACTGTGACTCTCCAGTCACATGACAAACAAGGGTTATTAAAACAGATTTTCACGGTTTAGGTAAGATCTTCGGGATTAAAATGGTTTTAGATATCACACAGTTTGTATATGGTAAGGTATCTTAAACAGTTAATTACATGTCACATATTCATATTTTTCAGTTTCCATATTAGATGCCATAGCAAATCAAAGATCATATAATAAAATAAGTCAAAAAACCAAAATATGGGAAAAGAAAGAGCTGAAGAAATGGTGATTTGAGCACCTATGATTTCTCATAGGTGTTTTTGGAGGGTGAGTGTTCAATTCTAATAGAAAAGATTGTTGTTGTGGTATTTTAGAATCTCACCATAATGTGTTTGGCACAATATAGCCCGGTTGGAGCTGATGTGACATAAACCTCGATTTCATTTTAATATTTTGAAATTTAAAATTCAGTTTAGTATAGTAAAACTGTACACGTACATGTATGTGCACAGACAGAATCTTACTTATGTCCAGATACATGTAGATATGACTATCTCATCTGTGGGGACCCATGGTGACCAAGTGGGTTAGACACTGGTTCGCATATTTTAAGGTCGCGGGTTTGCAGTAAGACGATGCAGTACGGGGGGCCTTACAAGGACAGCTGTCTAGTCGTTCAGATTGAACAAAAAAACGCGGTCCCGTGTACACATTGGCGTGCATGTAAAAGAGCCCCTGGCAGTTAGAATTTGATACAAGAGTAGGCCTTAGGATCACGGTACCCAGCAAAATTTCTCTCGTGGCACACTGTATGGCATATGCCCAACCTCATTAGCCCAGTCGAAGCTGAACAGTAGGACGCCAAACCCCATTTCATTTCATTTTTTTCATTTTGTCTCATCTGTGACAAAGCAAACCAACACATTACAATACAATTTAATTAAATTAAAACTTTCGTCTATTTAAATATTGAATCGATTTAAGTCAACTAAAACATAGTATGTTTTTTTTCTCAGTTAACTACATCAGAAAGATCAAGACAGTTGGAAATGGCTATTCATATTATGGAAACTTTTTCTCACAGAGCTTAATAATCAGGTAAAATGTAAGTAACATACATATTTGTATTTTTAATCATCACCTAGTTCTATACACTTGATTGGTAATCTAGTTATTCTTCTTGGGGCAATGCCTAGGACTCTCCTATTCAAGTCTTGGCATTCTTGATTTTTGACAATCACATCCATTGATTTTCTTCAAGTTGTGATAGACCCTATGTGTATTTTTACAGTAAATAGCAGTATAAAAATGGACAATATTTTACTTTTCAAATAGATTTTAATAGGTAATATCCAATTTGTTGTCGATGGAAATAAAATATAATAATCTGCCTGGGTCTGTTACTGGACAAGACACAATAAGTGTTACCCAAAGATGAAACAAAATAGAGACTCAGTCTCGATGTGGCAAAATAAATTGTTTATTTAAACATTGTGAACCATAAATAGTAAGAAAGTATTCTTATTGCCTACTTTTTATTTTTTAGGCTGGAAGATTTATTGATGTATGATAACAACAAGAGATCCCAAGCATCAATTTATTTTATAATTCTGGAAAAGAATGCATTTGACCCAATTTTTGAATATTTTTTTTTGTTTTTACTGTTAAATATTCATCCCAAACACAATTAGATTTTAATTCTCTACAGAAATTTATGTATAATATAGAATGTAAAGTGACATATAAATCACTTAGAATTTGGTCGGAAATCATAAAGTATTTAATAGGCATAGTCTAGAAACCAAATGTAGATCAAATATACCCAGAATTACAAAAAACCTTGACCTACATTAAGGTGACTTTCCCTTGCTTATGAAATGAAATAGGGTTTAATATCCTACTTTTCTGTGTTATTATGGTGATTCTGCCCTACAACCTACTCTTATATCAAATATTTCAACTGTCAAGGGTTGTTTAAAGGGAACCCAGGAGGGCCGAATGGTTAACACACGCACATTGCATCAGAAGGGTCTGTCATTGAGTCAGATAATTCAATTGTCAAGGTTCTTTAAAGTAAACGCAGTGGGGGTAGTTTCAATTCTGGGCTTATACCCAATTATCCCTTGCCATGTCCTACACTACTGACGTGTGGGAACTATGTCGGAAAATCCAGTTGAAATTTCTCGGCCAATGCACTCACTGAACTACAGTGGCTCCTCCTTGCTTTTGACTTGTGATTATTTATATATATTTTGTACATATTATTTAATGTTTGCAATTTTCTCTGATATTTTTTTATTTTTCAATCTTGTAATCTTGATGCTTTGCTCCTTTTATGTACAAAATATTCATTTTGTTTGTTGTTTTTTTTTTAACGAGGAAAAGGTTCTACATCATTTTATTACTCCTGCAAAATAGTGCATTTTTCTTTTGTTAGTTTTCTGGGTATGCTAGTTATTTCTAGATGCCTCACAAATCACTTGTAATATGACTTTGTAGCACTTTTCAGGTTCTGAAAGTATTTCAATTTAGTGCATAATTAATCTAATTAGGGCTTGGTTTGGATGTTATTAAATTTAGATATATTTGAATTATATATTTTTGGGGTATGGGGTAGGGATCTTTCTTTTCTCAGTTCTTGTTTTCGGGTAAAGAAAAAATTAAATAGCTATTTTGTATTTTGTGATGTGGGGTGGAGGGGGGCAAAGTATAACAAAAATTTTATTAGTATTAGAATTATATCTCTGTTTTTCTGTTAACATTTCAAATGATGTCTATTTAGTTTTGATTTGGTGGTGTTAATTTACTTTTTCCTATCATTTTATGAATACATGATAATTTAACAAATAAAATTATTGTTACCTCATTTATCAAACTTTACAGGTTAAACAGAGCAAAAGGGGTGGGGGGCTGCATGGGAAAGATTGCTAAATTGAGGGAAAATAAAACACAAGTTTTTGTTGGTGGTTATACACAAGTTTTTATGAAACCACACAAGTTTCAGAAATTTCAACACAAGTTTCAGAAATTTCGACACAAGGGAGGAAACCGGAGGACCAGGAGAAAACCCACAAGGCTGGACAGGCGACCCTATTCCTAGTCACATTCAAGTGGGGAATCACATAATAATGGCCTATTTCAAATAAGATATTTGCATATAAAGAAAGTAGGCTTACAGCCTCTTTCAAATGTGATATTTGCATATAAAGAAAGTACAAACTTAAATCGTCAGTGCTGGATAAACTAGCCAAAGGATTTGGCTGAATCAATTGGCGCTAAACTTCGCCTAGTTTATCCACTGACATTTGCCCGAATCAAACATGTTTGATATATTTGGCCGAATTGTATTTGAGTGGTGTGTCCGCTTCGCCGAAGCATTCGTCTGATTTTAGAATTCATTAGCCAATCACCACTCATTCATATCGAGTGGGTATCGCAAACTTGCAGTCGAACTGTGACACGGGTGCTACAGCCAACAAATTCCAACTACCATACTATCGGCTTAAATGCACGCCAATGGGACCTCAGGTTTTGTGTTCCATTGAAACGACTAGAAATGAAATGAAATGGGGTTTAACGTCCTACTGTTTTGCTCCGAACTGGGCTAATGAAGACAGGCATACACCACACAGTGTGCTATGAGGGAAATTTTGCCCGGACAGCGGCACTGCGGTGTATCGAATTCCAACTGTCAAGGGATCTTTTACGTGCACGCCAACGTGTACACGGGACCTCGTTTTTTCATTTCATCCGAATGACTAGACAGCTGTCCTTGTCAGGCCCTCCGTCCTGCATCACTGACAAGGGGGAACCACGCTGGGAAATCTGGGTGAACTTTCTCGGCCAATGCAGGGATCGAACAGCCGACCTCCAGGCTAGCGAGCCAGCGTTTTACCCACTTAGCCACCATGACGACTAGGCATGGAATCCATGCTGAAAAATTCAAATGAGCTTTCTCGGTCAACACTGGGAGCGAACCCGCAACCTCCCGGGTACCAAGCCAGTGCCTTACACACTAAGCCACATGACTCTCTTCTAATTACTGTGACAGTCCAGTCACATGACAAACAAGGGTTATTAAAACAGATTTTCAAGGCTTGGGTAAGATCTTCGGGATTCAAATGGTTTTAAATATCACACAGTTTGTATATGGTAAGGTATCTTAAACAGTTTATTACATGTCACATATTCATATTTTTCAGTTTCCATATTAGATGCCATAGCAAATCAAAGATCATATAATAAAATAAGTCAAAAAACCCAAATATGGAAAAAGAAAGAGCTGAAGAAATGGTGATTTGAGCACCTATGCTTTCTCATAGGTGTTTTTGGAGGGTGAGTGTTCAATTCTAATAGAAAAGATTGTTGTTATGGTATTTTAGAATCTCACCATAATGTGTTTGGCACAATATATCCCGGTTGGAGCTGATGTGACATAAACCTCCATTTCATTTTATTGTTTTGAAATTTAAAATTCAGTTTAGTATAGTAAATTTGTACACGTATATGTATGTGCACAAACAGAATCTTACTTATGTCCAGATACATGTAGATATGACTGTCTCATCTGTGGGGGACCACGGTGGCCAAGTGGGTTAGACACTGGCTCGCATATTTTAAGGTCGCGGGTTTGCAGTAAGACATTGCAGTACGGAGGACTGGGCTAATGAAGTTGGGCATATGCCATACAGTGTGCTACGAGAGAAATTTTGCCGGGTACCGTGACCTTAACGCCTTCTCTTGTATCAAATTCTAACTGCCAGGGTATCTTTTACATGCACGCCAATGTGTACATGGGACCACGCTTTTTTGTTCAATCTGAATGACTAGACAGCTGTCCTTGTCAGGCCCTCCGTCCTGCATCACTAACAAGAGGAAACCACGCCGGAAAATCTGGGTGAACTTTCTCGGCGAATGCAGGGATCGAACACCCGACCTCCAGGCTAGCGAGCCAGCGTCTTACCCACTTAGCCACCATGATGACTAGACAGGGAATCCATGCTGAAAAATCCAAATGAGCTTTCTCGGTCAACACTGGGAGCGAACCTGCAACCTCCCGGGTAGCAAGCCAGTGCCTTACACACTAAGCCACATGGCTCTCTTTTAATTACTGTGACTCTCCAGTCACATGACAAACAAGGGTTATTAAAACAGATTTTCACGGTTTAGGTAAGATCTTCGGGATTAAAATGGTTTTAGATATCACACAGTTTGTATATGGTAAGGTATCTTAAACAGTTAATTACATGTCACATATTCATATTTTTCAGTTTCCATATTAGATGCCATAGCAAATCAAAGATCATATAATAAAATAAGTCAAAAAACCAAAATATGGGAAAAGAAAGAGCTGAAGAAATGGTGATTTGAGCACCTATGATTTCTCATAGGTGTTTTTGGAGGGTGAGTGTTCAATTCTAATAGAAAAGATTGTTGTTGTGGTATTTTAGAATCTCACCATAATGTGTTTGGCACAATATAGCCCGGTTGGAGCTGATGTGACATAAACCTCGATTTCATTTTAATATTTTGAAATTTAAAATTCAGTTTAGTATAGTAAAACTGTACACGTACATGTATGTGCACAGACAGAATCTTACTTATGTCCAGATACATGTAGATATGACTATCTCATCTGTGGGGACCCATGGTGACCAAGTGGGTTAGACACTGGTTCGCATATTTTAAGGTCGCGGGTTTGCAGTAAGACGATGCAGTACGGGGGGCCTTACAAGGACAGCTGTCTAGTCGTTCAGATTGAACAAAAAAACGCGGTCCTGTGTACACATTGGCGTGCATGTAAAAGAGCCCCTGGCAGTTAGAATTTGATACAAGAGTAGGCCTTAGGATCACGGTACCCAGCAAAATTTCTCTCGTGGCACACTGTATGGCATATGCCAAACCTCATTAGCCCAGTCGAAGCTGAACAGTAGGACGCCAAACCCCATTTCATTTCATTTTTTTCATTTTGTCTCATCTGTGACAAAGCAAACCAACACATTACAATACAATTTAATTAAATTAAAACTTTCGTCTATTTAAATATTGAATCGATTTAAGTCAACTAAAACATAGTATGTTTTTTTTCTCAGTTAACTACATCATAAAGATCAAGACAGTTGGAAATGGCTATTCATATTATGGAAACTTTTTCTCACAGAGCTTGATAATCAGGTAAAATGTAAGTAACATACATATTTGTATTTTTAATCATCACCTAGTTCTATACACTTGATTGGTAATCTAGTTATTCTTCTTGGGGCAATGCCTAGGACTCTCCTATTCAAGTCTTGGCATTCTTGATTTTTGACAATCACATCCATTGATTTTCTTCAAGTTGTGATAGACCCTATGTGTATTTTTACAGTAAATAGCAGTATAAAAATGGACAATATTTTACTTTTCAAATAGATTTTAATAGGTAATATCCAATTTGTTGTCGATGGAAATAAAATATAATAATCTGCCTGGGTCTGTTACTGGACAAGACACAATAAGTGTTACCCAAAGATGAAACAAAATAGAGACTCAGTCTCGATGTGGCAAAATAAATTGTTTATTTAAACATTGTGAACCATAAATAGTAAGAAAGTATTCTTATTGCCTACTTTTTATTTTTTAGGCTGGAAGATTTATTGATGTATGATAACAACAAGAGATCCCAAGCATCAATTTATTTTATAATTCTGGAAAAGAATGCATTTGACCCAATTTTTGAATATTTTTTTTTGTTTTTACTGTTAAATATTCATCCCAAACACAATTAGATTTTAATTCTCTACAGAAATTTATGTATAATATAGAATGTAAAGTGACATATAAATCACTTAGAATTTGGTCGGAAATCATAAAGTATTTAATAGGCATAGTCTAGAAACCAAATGTAGATCAAATATACCCAGAATTACAAAAAACCTTGACCTACATTAAGGTGACTTTCCCTTGCTTATGAAATGAAATAGGGTTTAATATCCTACTTTTCTGTGTTATTATGGTGATTCTGCCCTACAACCTACTCTTATATCAAATATTTCAACTGTCAAGGGTTGTTTAAAGGGAACCCAGGAGGGCCGAATGGTTAACACACGCACATTGCATCAGAAGGGTCTGTCATTGAGTCAGATAATTCAATTGTCAAGGTTCTTTAAAGTAAACGCAGTGGGGGTAGTTTCAATTCTGGGCTTATACCCAATTATCCCTTGCCATGTCCTACACTACTGACGTGTGGGAACTATGTCGGAAAATCCAGTTGAAATTTCTCGGCCAATGCACTCACTGAACTACAGTGGCTCCTCCTTGCTTTTGACTTGTGATTATTTATATATATTTTGTACATATTATTTAATGTTTGCGATTTTCTCTGATATTTTTTTATTTTTCAATCCTGTAATCTTGATGCTTTGCTCCTTTTATGTACAAAATATTCATTTTGTTTGTTGTTTTTTTTTTAACGAGGAAAAGGTTCTACATCATTTTATTACTCCTGCAAAATAGTGCATTTTTCTTTTGTTAGTTTTCTGTGTATGCTAGTTATTTCTAGATGCCTCACAAATCACTTGTAATATGACTTTGTAGCACTTTTCAGTTTCTGAAAGTATTTCAATTTAGTGCATAATTAATCTAATTAGGGCTTGGTTTGGATGTTATTAAATTTAGATATATTTGAATTATATATTTTTGGGGTATGGGGTAGGGATCTTTCTTTTCTCAGTTCTTGTTTTCGGGTAAAGAAAAAATTAAATAGCTATTTTGTATTTTGTGATGTGGGGTGGAGGGGGGCAAAGTATAACAAAAATTTTATTAGTATTAGAATTATATCTCTGTTTTTCTGTTAACATTTCAAATGATGTCTATTTAGTTTTGATTTGGTGGTGTTAATTTACTTTTTCCTATCATTTTATAAAATACATGATAATTTAACAAATAAAATTATTGTTACCTCATTTATCAAACTTTACAGGTTAAACAGAGCAAAAGGGGTGGGCGGCTGCATGGGAAAGATTGCTAAATTGAGGGAAAATACAACACAAGTTTTTGTTGGTGGTTATACACAAGTTTTTTTTCAGTTTATGTATTGTGCAATTCACAAGAGTAGGTGTAAAATTAAGATAATGAACGTATCCTGTTTTCGTGTGATATTGATAGCATAAAGCTGCCCACTCTATGTAACAATTATTAAATTGAAAGTCAAAGATGCATTATGTCAGAGCTAAATCTGCCGATTGCCGATCTTTCTTTTGGCATCAAGCTTTATGAAATTATTAATTAGACATTTGTTCACACGACAAGTCAGTAATCATTCTATTGCGTTGACTATCGGATAGTTGTGATTTTGAACGGATTGAAACACGATCGCCATTTAATAATTTGATTTAAATATGGAAAATCAAGACCTTGTTTATTGTCGTAACAACGGTAGTAATGAAAATGAATACTACGCTATTTTTTTAAAACTTTCATAACTGCCCTCAGATGAAGTAATTTGACAGAAATGTTCACTATATTCTGTTTTCATTATTCATTTTTAGGGGGGTTGGGTGGCTGAATGGTTAGCTCGTGCGCGCTGTACCATAAAGTCTGTCATTAAGTCAACTGGCGTGGTTTCGAATCCCCGGTTGTACGTGGCAAGGAGTAGGGTCGCCTGTCCAACCTCGTGGGTTTTCTCCGGGTCCTCTGGTTTCCTCCCACTGCTAAAGACCCCTACGCGCAAGCGAATTATTGAAATAAAATTTAAAAAAAACCCATGTGTTAGTCCCGAAATGACCTAGTTTGTGTCGAGTGGACGTTAAACCCCATTTCTCTCTCTCTCTCTCTCTCTATTCATTTTTATACTTTGTAAGCTACCAGCCGCCGCAAGGCGCTTGCGAACGCAACGTGGAAGATGGCAACACATCTGTCGTTTGCGGCGGTCAACGACGTACGTTGACATCAACCAAAATGTGTGAACACAAACCAACAACAGCGAATTCTCGAACTAAAGGAAACATGGCGGATTTTAGCAACGAAAGACCCTCAGACATTGATGCTATTTAATGACCAGGATGAACAGATCAAGCCTACCAGGTCGTACGTAAGGTCCATATTTGCAAATTTTACGGCGTTGAACGTTGGCGTCGGTTGTTTCGTGACGGCGTTTTAGGTCCGTCATAAGTATAAATATTGAAAGCGTCGGAAGTGTAAATCAGGTTTTATTGCGAAAGCTGTCAGCTCAGTATCTAAAATCTTAAATTATGCATCTTCAATTACTTAGTAATATAGTACAGTACTGTTGACAGTAGTAATAGACAAATAAGGATAAACTATTTGAAATATTAATTTGAAACATAAACGTGTTTAATACGGAGGCGTTTGATAGTAACGAATAGAATCTGAAATCATATATCAACTCGATACTGATTGGTCAGAGCACCTGAAGCCCACTGATATCCTTGTCTTATAAGAGCAAATATTCTGGCTGAGAACAACCATTCCTCTGGTGAGACGCTTCGCCCAACTTTCCAACATGAAGGACGATTTTTTGATACATGTGACCACTGGAGACAAGAGATGGGCTGGGACCGACGCTAATGTCTACATTATTCTCCACGATGACATTGGAAATTCCACGTCTGAAATCCATCTGGATAAATTCTTCAGGAATGATTTTGAAATTGGCCGAACGGATGTCTTTAGGGTAGCACGTCAGAATCTGGGATCCGTTGATAAAGTAGTTGAGATTGAAATATGGAGAGATAATTGGGGTTTTGGTAGCGCCTGGTATGTCAACAGAATTGTAGTGGAGAATGCCAGAACGACGGAGCAAATCGTTTTTCCGATATTACGTTGGATTAAAGCTGACTTCCACCATAGAATTACAATAAATGACGCCTCCTTGCCCCAAAATGACAAACATCCTGACCAGAGAAAAAAAGAACTAGAAGAAAAAATGAAGGAGTATCAGTTCGAATCAACAGCACCAGGTTTGCCCGTTAGGGTAAGTAAATGAAATGAAATGGGGTTTAACGTCCTACTGTTCTTTTCCGATTCGGCTAATGAAGACGGACGTATATGCTGTGTGCTATGAGGGGAAACTTTGCCCGGACAGCGGCGCTATGACCAACTCGTATATTGAATTCGATCTGCTTAGGGCCCACACCACTGACAAGGGGTGGCCGCGCCGGATACCGATGAAAATAGTCAGTACAGGTAGCTGTTTTTTGTGCTGTTGTGTTCTATAGTCATATGAATGGAATCCAATCGCGATTTTATTTAACCGGGGGTGATTTCAAACACATAGGCAAGTTTTTAGTAACAATTATTCAGTAGTTTGTTCACAATCGACGAAATCCGTTTATAATTTACCACGGTTCAGATAGTAGTTATACATTTTAATATAAATCATATCTATAAATCATGTAATACTAACAATATTCTCGAAACTAGTTTATTGGTTTATTTTTATCTTAAGATTAAACAATAAATTTAATAATACTTTAAATAATATATAAAACTACAGATCCACAGCTTAAAGTTTATATTAGATGATCTGACAAGCTGACGTCATATTTTTCTATCCATACAATAATTTCAATCTATTTTCAGATCAAGAAATTACCGGATGATGAAGACTTTTCCTGGTGCTATCGGGTAAATCTTTACAATTTTCTTATCCTTTAAAAAGAGGGATAGAGATGGGGTGTAACGTCCACGCGACACAAACTATGTCATTTTGGGACTAACATATGGTTCAATTTTATTTCAAAAACTTGCTTGCGCGAAGGGGTCAAAGGATTGACCCAGCCAGTTATTATGGATTTTGAAGCGCAAGGAATTTCCCCCACCCCGGTCTCGATAATTTGGCAGGAAAAATATCCTCCCAGCTCCTCCCACTCCTAAAGCCGAGCGCACATTGATTCAAATATATACTACTAAGCAGAAACCAAACTTTCCGGATGATGAAAACTTTTCCTGGTGCTATGAAGTAAATCTCTACAATTTTCTTATCCTTTAAAAAGAGGGAGAGAGATGGGGGTGTAACGTTCACGCGACACAAACTATGTCATTTCGGGACTAATATATGGTTCAATTTTATTTCAAAAACTCGCTTGCGCGAAGGGGTCAGAGGGTTGACCCAGCCAGTTATTCTGGATTTTGAAGCGCAAGGAATTCCCCCCACCCCGGTCTCGATAATTTGGCAGGAAAATTATCCTCCCAGCTCCTCCCACTCCTAAAGCCGAGTGCACATTGATTCAAATATATACTACTAAGCAGAAACCAAACTGGTGTAGCTGTGTTTTAGGAATTCGCAATAAGAGTAGGCCGTAGCGCCGCTGTCCGGGCACAATCCCGCTTCATTAACCCACCCTGTGCTCAAAAGTAGAATGCTAAACCCCATGGCATTTCATTTTGTTTCGTTTTGTAGTTTCATCTGGGAATACGGTTTTTAAAGGCAAAAGAAACAACTTTAATAGATTACAAATTCTGTGGGCATTTGGAAGGAAAATGGAAGAATATGGACGAACTAGAAAATTTCTACATATCCAAAACATTACCCTTACCAAAGGTAACAACAAAATATTTTTAATGAATAACCCCCAACGAAAAAAGGGGGGATCTTTTTGAAAGCTTCTCGGACTTCGCCGAGACGCTGTTTCCTCTTGTCAGTGGTGCAGGACGGAGAGCCTGACAAGAACGGCTGTCTAATCGTTCGGATGGGACGAAAAACCGAGGTCCCTTGTACACATTGGCGTGCACGTAAAACAATCCTTGACAGTTGGAATTCCATATAAGAGGCGGCCGTAGCGGAGCTGCCCTTGAATACTTCCCAACTTAGCACACTGCATGGCGTGTGCTTATCTTCATTAACCAAACTCGAAGGAGGTTCAATCCCATTTGAAAACAGAAAATCAAAACAAAGAATAGTTCATTCTAACTAGTAGGCGCAAAGTCTAAATGAAGTTCGAGTCGACTCACAGAGAGAGAAATGGTGTTTAACGTCCACTCGACACAAACCAGGTCATGTCAGGACTAGCATAATATGGTGAAATTTGATTTCACTAATTCTTTAGCAGTGGAAGGACACCGGGCTACTCTGGGAATCGAAACCACACCAATGACAGACCTTATGGTCACCCAACCCCGCTTTGAGTGTACTCAATACCCGACATCCTTGACATCTGACTGAAACAAGAGTGATTATTTACGAAGACCAAGCATATTTTAAATCTTTTAAAATTCGATTTTATCAAAACAAACCAATTGATCTGGTCCTTTCCGAATTCCACACCGGAACAGAAAATTAAACTAGTGTGACCTAAAGATAAGATAGTTTTCATCTTTGAGGCTACAATCAGAAAAATCCTGATTATCTGAATTCTGTGATTTTCAGGAACACGATGGCTGGAAAGATGACCTCTATTTTGGCCGTCAAAGACTTGCAAGTGTAAATAGTAATTTCATCAAACTATGTACAACCATTCCAGAAAAGTATGTATATTATTTTTAATTCTTTACACATTATACTTTACAATCATGTGGTAACCTGATGTATAGGGAAGCCTGGACAGGCCGGTAGCTCTATGTAGCTGCTGGATCAAACCATGATGCCGATGGAGAGAGTAGACATAAATATATAGACTATTTAAAATTCAATCTTATAACCCGAGACTTTGTGATAAATACACTACCTCTTATTTCAACTTATATTCGTTTTGTGCTATACTCTTGAACTGGGATTTATAAATACCTAAGTTGCCAATTGTTGGCCTATTTACCAGAAGAAGAGACTTCTAGAATTTCGTATGTAGTAGCGACTAGACTTCTATAGACTATCTGATGATTTCATCTATAGGTTTGGTAGTGTCCACTATAGAGTTCTACTTTTTCACAATATCTCATGTCATTCCACTGTTTTACGCATTGTCATAATTTACTTATATATTACTAATTCGGATCCTTTAGAACCTCTTTATTTATTCAATGCCAAGATCGTGTCGATGACTGTTGTTTATATTCGATTAACCAAACACTTTGTGTCTATAATGATTTGTGTTACGTGATAATTATGCACTAGGAGTTCGAGAATAATGATTGATGGTATTTTGCGCTTCCTATAAAACCCCGTTATGACTCCCTCGCTACATCCCCACGTAAAATGGTAGCGCAATAATAGACTTAAGACTTCGGCAAGCTTTTTAATATTTTTAAAATGGTCATAATATGCCTTTCTTACACTTAATTGTTATCATCCTTGCATTCCTAGGTTTACTTAATTTTGTTTAAAACAGCCCTCCTTCCTCTATTCGTGATGCTGGGTGATTGTGGGGTTAGGGGGATTTCACAACTGAAATGGCCTAGGGCCTCTCTTCAACTAGATCCGGCACGGGTTCATGGTTCCTCGTTCGCCTACGCATGACCCCCAACGTTGGAATCCAGCCTGCTGGTCCCTGGTACACTGTTTGGTTTAAATGCTCTATACAGAATTGCCCGTCGGATGTCTTTTTTGACAATTGTTCCAAGATTTATTTAGCGTTTTCAGTGTCTCACCTTTAAAATGTAAGTCTGTGTCCCAACTTGATCCACTTCACTGGCGTGTAGAGAGCGGAAGACGGCCCCGGGCATCCATTTCCGGGCTGCGTCCAATCAGTTATTATTTGTTTGTTTTAGGTTGGCTGTTAACGAATGTATTCTAAAACCCATGTTACAAGGCAACAGATTAACGGATTTGTTAAAAGATAAAAGAATGTATATTTGTGATTTTGAGATATTAGAAGGAAACAAATGTCGCGATGATAGAAAGGTAAGCTGTATGTGTATGTGGTCGTATATTATCATCACTCTTGTCCGTCCGTATGTCATGGTTTTTTGGGTACGTCTAATCATTCCGTTTTCCATGTACGCGGTGTTTCCGTGAACGTTTTCGCCAGGGAAAAATCATTTCATAGGTGTTGTCTAAAACGTTATTGTATTTTGTTTTCAGCTTTGTGCCCCTATAGGACTGTTTATGGTTGACAATAATCAGGAATTACGACCTATCGCTATTCAGTTATTCCAGAAACCAGCTGCAGATAATCCGGTAATTATAATCAGATATACATTTTCCTGAAAAACGTTCCGATAAAAAATTTAGTTATAAAAAATTTGATCACAAAAATATTAATTATGAAAATAGAATAAATGATCCATAGTGAAAATTTAAATATTATTCTGAAATTCCATGTCGCTGATTGTGATGGTTTAACGAATCTCCTGAGTTTGAAAGTCTGAAAACGGGGGTTTCCCCCTTTTCAGTACCGTACTCCAGGACAGTGTGTGTGGCAATGGGCTAGTAAAGGAAGGTGTCTAGTCGTTCGGATGGGACTAAAACCCAAGAGCCCGTATACACGTTGGTGTACCCGTAAAAGAACAAATGACAGTAGGGATTTAATTGCTGTTCGAGCACAATGTATGGTGTATGTTCGTCTTCGTTAGACTAATTGGTAGAACGTTCCGCCCGATAGCATTATTTTATTTATCCCGAAACGGGGTGAATTTTTAGAAAATATCCAGATGTATAATACGGTATAATTATTGTTTGCTTTAAGGTGTTTCTACCAACAGATCACCCTACTGTTTGGACTATAGCTAAAATGTGGTATAACAATGCAGATGCTGCCTACCATCAATCACTAACACATCTTGGTAAGTAACCATACTAACACATCTTGGTAAGTAAACATAGTAACACATCTTGGAAAAGATTCCATAATAACACATCTTGGTAAGTAACTTTATTAACACATCTTGATAATCATGCACAGTAGCCCATCTTGGTAAGTAACCATAGTAACACGTCTTGGTAAGTAACCATATAATCGCACATCTTGATGAGTAACCATAATTATAATCGCACATCTTGGGGTTTAACGTTCTACTTTTCTGCGCTTAATCCCAATTTCAAATGTGAAAGGTCTTGTTACGTTACATGCAGTTTTTCGTCCCTTATGCACGACTAGACACTGTTCGTTACTAATTCCCTCGTCTTGCACGGCAAGTAGTAGAAAGTAACAACAACCTAAAGTCAACCAAAATACAGCAAACTCTGTCTCTGTATTTCAGACCCCCTTTTCAAACCCCACGTTCGTCAAGGATAACGACTAAGATAAATGAGCAGTAAGAGGGGGATGTAATAAAAAAAAAAATCTGTCGTAAGAAACGTGCGGCCCTAAAAATAGATTGGTCAAACAATCGGTTAATCAATCGCCATGTCGATGGTTCGATCAATCAATCGGTAAATCAATCAATCATTGATTAAAATCTGTGGTTTATTTTCCAGGTTCTACACATCTTAATATGGAAGGAATGTCGATTTCAACTCATAGGAAGTTATCCGTGTCACATCCTCTCTTCAAATTATTGGGGCCCCATTTTTTATATTTATTATCGATCAACAAGTAAGTTATTATACAGGTTTCTTGCTTGGATTAAACATTTGTTATCTTTAGAAGTGGTATCCCAGTCAACACGTACCACCGTACTAGACCAGGGCCCTGTTTCTCGAAATCTTAAATAAAGATAAAATCCAAATTTTAGAAGATACTTAAGTTTTGACTGGCTAAGCACTAAAATCAATCTAATATTATCCAATCAAATTACTAAAATTTGGTTTTTATCTTAGTTAAAATTTTGTGAAACAGGCCCCAGGAACTGATTGTGACGTCATCGCAGCTACCATGATGTCATATCAAAAATCGAATTACTTCAGTCGATGGGAAGTTGTCCAAGGATTACGCGTGTCATTTCGGTCGTGCATGAATTGGCGGAGCTTTAGGCTTTTATCGAAGACCGTCGTTCCGAAGAATAACAAAAAAAGAGACAAGATGACTAGCGCTTGGAGACCATACCAGTTCCTGTCCAAAAATTGGTAGTGATGGGTCAGTTTGTTGTCGACGGTTTGTCGTATCATATTTCTACATCTAGGACACGTCACAATGGCGATAGACGTCACCCCATCATATTTTACATAACGGTAATACTTTAATAGTAGGCTACCTAATTTATGTGTATGGCTTTGTCATTTCAGCTTAGCTTATACAACACTTCTACCGCCAGGAGGATGGGTCGATACATCGATGACAACCGGTGCCAAAGGAATGATTGAACTTGTCGGAAAGGGGTCAGTATTTTTCGACGGACCACTTTTGATTTTAGAATTGGTTAGGTTGTGTACTAGGATGTGGAGATTTGGATATTTTAGATACTTGCAAGAACCTGTTCTTATGTAGGACTATTTTGTTACTTCAGTGAAGATAACTCATACATGTAATAGCTACAGTTCGTGTTTGTTTATAATAACGCAAGCATTATGGGATTTATTGCGGGAAGGGCAGCAAATCTTACTTGACTTGACTAAAGATACTGGATAATTAACCACATAAAAAAAACTCCCGGTTACGCATGGGCAATGGAACTTTTCGTCAAATATTAACAATGGTCCCAGACCCTCCGTACGTTGAAAACTAAGAGGTTCTGGTTGACCGAGACTACAAAAAGTTGGGTCATCGCTGTTTTTATTTATGTAAACATTTCTTTCAGAATGAGTGAGTGGCGAATGGATGTAGACGGTACTCTTCCCGAAGATTTGAAAAACAGAAGGGTAAGTTTTCAATACATGTATGTACTAAACAGCAAATCAAACGTCAGTACGATTTCAAAATCAGAGAGGCACTTTAATCAAATCATTCTAGAAAACGACTTACTAAATGGATCAAAACAATTTTTTGTGAACAGTATGTTGACACCTTGAGCGGCATTTAGCAATTGACATACGTAATACAAAAACATAATATGGAACACTATTACTATTTTATTTAAAGCGACGTTTCGTTGAGGGTTCTCTCAACGTTTTCAACCCTCAACGAAACGTCGCTTTAAATAAAATAGTAATTGTGTTCCATATTATGTTTTTGTATTAAGTATGTTGACACATTAGTGATCAATTCATCACAATTCCAAAACATTACGAGAAGGTTTAGAGTCGTCTGTACACAGTCTATACATCAGTATCTGGTGTGTCCAGCGCAGCGTCTGTACATGGAGTGGACCAGACGATTGATGAAAGCCATTGGCACTTGCAACCACACTCTCAGAATACCCTGTGTTTGGGAAGGAGCCTTATTGCTCAGGTAAAGTTGGAGATGTGGTCACAAATATGCAATAAAACATTTGGCAAGTTTTATGCAATGCGTCTATTCAGATTAACATACCAACCTGACGTTTCTTTTGCTGCTTAGTATATAATAATCTAATACTTTGCCTTTCCTGTATTTTGAATGTACTACATTCTAAATGTCATTCAAGGAACGTACTACATCTTTTTTAAAACAAAAACTAAATGTAATGTTTTTCTTTTGCGATTTGCATTAACAGCTATACAACATGTAAGAAAAGAATGTGAAAATGTCATGTGCTATTTAACTTCTCGTCTATGGCCCAGACTTAGGAAATGAAATGAAATGGGGTTAAACGTCCTACTGTTCTGCCTCGGCTGGACTAATGAAGACTGACATTATACAGTGCGCTATGACATTAGACCAGCGGCCCTATGGTCTACTCTTATATCGAATTTCAACTGCCAAGGGATCTTTTACGTGCATACCAATGTATACACGGGACCTCGGTTTTCCGTCCCATCCGAACGACTAGACAACTGTCCTTGCCAGGCCCTCATTCCTGCACCACTGGCAAGGGGAAACCACGCCGGAAAACTCCTGATGAACTTTCTCCGCCAATGAGGGAATCGACCACGCGACCTCCAGACTAGCGAGCCATCGTCTTACCCACTTTATGATATTATATCGTTTGAAACTCTGCGTATGCCAAAGAGACTAAATAATTTGGCAATATTGAGTATTGCATGTGACTTTACTCAGAAATTGGACCTTTCGAATATCATTGATTCTTTTAGTGCAGAAAAGGCAGTACCGGTATTCCTTAAAAAAAATAGTTTGATTAAAGTTCAGTGAACAACAAATAGATATGGAGCATTCAGTGACTTTCTATTTAATCTATATTGTGTATTCAAATCAATCAAAAACATTTTTATATAATTTGATTTCAGTACAAACATAACCTATTTTGGAGAAGCAGTCAGGACAGGAGAGTCCATCTACCAAACTGCGCCAATCCCCCGCCTCCCCCATGCGTCTTAATTCGACACCTCTAGAAATCCTGGCACTACCTCTCAATGGAGCAATCCATTTTGATGCTTTTTGCATCACACATGATTGAATGAATGTGCATTGCATGTTGGATTTTCATTGGTTTGTGCATTACATATTATGATTGGATGGGTTTGCATTACATATAATTAGACGAATTTTGTATTTTATTGCAGGTTGATGACGTGTCCGCTTTACCTAATTATCACTATAGAGACGACGCTTTACTGTTATACGAAGCCATTAAAAACTACGTTACTAAATATGTTAACCTTTATTACAGTACGTTATGTTATCAATTTATTTATAAATAAATGGGCTTTAACGTTTACTCGGAGAACCCGGAGGACTTGGTAAAACACACATGGTTGGACAGGCGATCCTACTCCTTGTCACGTACACGCATGAAATCGAAACCACGCCACTTTACTCAATGACGGACCGTAAGATCTACTGCGCACAATTCGACCACCCAAACGTCCAATTTATTTATAAACATGTAAAAGGTTACTTATTAACGCCACCATTACTATTTGTAAAAATGAAAAGTCAGGTGTTTCTGGCGTTGCAAGTAGAGCATCCAACACAACACCCGAAAGTAGCTAATGCCCGCTTCAGTCTTTTACAGACGTCTCATTTTAATGTTTAGATATATAATATACTGTCAAGGTTTTTTTTAAGTGCATGTCAATATGTACACGGGATCACGGTGTTTCGCCCATGCGAATGATTAGACGATGTTCCTTGTCAAGGCACTCATCTTGCACCACTGACAAGGGTAAACCAGGAAACTTCTCGGCCAAGTTACATTCATGTTTACTACGATAAATAGCAGTATTATAGATCTTAATGACTTTGGATATATATTCTTTTTATTAATAATCATTTTATGTATTTTCCAGAGAGCCCAAAGGACATCGCTGGTGATTGGGAATTAAGAAGTTGGGCGAAGGAACTGAGCTTAAGAAAGGAAAAGGGTGGGGTTGGAGTTCTGGTAAGATTCGCGTGTAAAATGCATGTATAATATGTTATGACAGACTTGAAAGGTTCATCGGAGGTCCAATGCCACAACCACGATATGATTACACAGCTCAAAATTTAGAAACACTGCTTTAATGTGTGTGTGTGGGTCGGGAGGGAGGGGGGCAAATGTTAAACGCTACACATTACATCATAGGGCATATCATTGAGTCATGACGCATGGGTTGAATTCCCCGCAGGTCCATCCTCGTGGGATGTCTCCGAGCCCCCTCCCCCCTTTTTTCTCCCACTGCTAAGGACGCGCAAGCGAATTATTGAAATAAAATTGAAGAATATGTTAGTCCTGAAGTGCCCTAGTGGATGTTACCCCCCTCTCTCTCTCTGTCTCTCTCTGTCTCTCTCTCTCTCTCCCTCTCTCAAGTTGTATGTTAACAAAAACAGTACTACTAAGTGTATGGAATCCATTCCTGGTTAAAAAAAAAGTTAGGCCTCGTTACCTCGTTAGGCCAAAATAAAAATGTATCCGTGTTTAAGGTAACACAACCGATTTTATTTCTGACCTATAACTATGTAATGGCTTGGTTTGGTTTTCTGTGGGCAAATTCCAATAATATTTTTAAAACCCTTACTCAGTAACTTTTTAGCTAGGTAATAAGATAAGATAATACAAACGATTTTCCGACCGACCGAAACTATTTTTGGAGACCATGTAACCGTAAACGCAGGTGTTTTGGGTTGGTTTTTGTTTTGTTTTGGTTTTTTTTGGCCTCGTAGATATTCATTTGTATTTTATTCTGTTTCTTCCAGGGAATACCAAATGGTGGCGATCTGAAATGTAACGAAGATATCGTACTGGTTGCCACGTGCATTATATATACCTGTAGTGTTACCCATGCTGCCGCCAACTTTCTACAGTACGAACAATACGCATTTCCGGCTAATTACCCGAGTTTGATGGCAGGTAGTCCACCTACAACCAAGGTAACATTTTAATTCTGTATTTCCCGGATGAGGGCGAAAGTTATTTTTAGTCTTTCTCTCCCTTTCCCTTCTTCACCCTTTTTCATGGCGATTTTTGTTGACTTTTTCGTGTAGAATCGAAGAAAGGGGTTTGAAAATACATTTTCTGTCAGGTTTTCGTGAATATTCATGAATTTGAGGCGGAAGGATACAAGAGTTGAGGGCTTGGTTAGGTTGAAATGCACGTTTACTTGTCTTTACTTGTGTATCTCAAGTTTTCCATGGCGAACCTCATACATACGTGCTTTTGGGCAAGAGGTTGCTACATGTTGCTCTGTCTGTGGTAGAAAGCCTTTTACCCAACGAAAATTTGGGGAAAAGTTAGAGCCGGTCTGAGAGACGAGAATTAACATTAAAGACAATGGGCAAATCTTTTGTGATCTGTGGCCAAATAGCTTTTGTCAAACCACGTGTCCACATAGCTTTTGTCAAACCACGTGTCCACATAAACTGTCTTAATGGATTGTCTGCTCTAAATGACGTCAAGCTTGTTCCCAAAATGATCAGCAGTAAATAGTCGCTTGGCCGCTACTGTTAATGAAAGGGATGACATAATAGGCGAGTTAATTAGCTCTCAATATTTTTTTTCTAAAAATTAAACTCTAAAACAATTGTTTAAATTATTAAAGATACATTATTCAAGAGCTAAATATGCCTTTTGTAGGTTTTTATTTTGGTTTCAAATGTTATATGAATTATTATTTAGACATTTATTCACATGGTAAGCCTATAGTCAACTCTCTAGACAGAAATTTAAATCGATTGAAATGCGATCGCAATTTAATGTTTTAATTTTAAAATGGAGAAGCGAGAGTGGGTCTCGATTAACAAGTAACGTTGCTACGGTAATAAACAATATTTGCCACATCTTGGCAAAACCTCAAACAGTGCTAACGTGGCTCAGAATAAACTAATTTGAATGAAATTTCCAATATATTAATTTTAAATTATCTCTAAAGGAATTAATTCTAGTTATTTCATCCTGATTTGATTTTATTTTTTTAGGATGCCAAAATGGCAATAATAGACTATTTACCAGGTAAAGCTGAAACTTTGGATATCATGGTCATGACAAATATTTTAAGCCTAAGAGCCGCAAATGGTCTTGGTAACTTTGAAGTTCAGTATGTTTATGATCCTGAAGCAGTGGACATAGTCAATGAGTAAGTACTACACAGTGTTCCAATCGGCCCACCGAGCAAATGTAATAGGGACTATGCCCTGAGTTTAGTGGAAAATATTGCGGTGCGCTTCAATTTTCTTAAAAAATTATAAAATCATTAAGGTAATTTCAGAATTAGATTAAAGGTGTCCCCAAATTAGTTCTAAGAATATCATTTTGCACCATAAATAAATATGTCATATGTAACGGTAGAGTTGAACAATGGAGGCATACAATTTTCACTGCTATGGTAAGGGCCCCAGTGAGATTTTCAGCCAGGGGGGCATGCATGTATAAACGGAGATGTCAAACATATAGGGTAAAGGGGATTATCAATGTGCTGTCTTTTGTTTTGGTTATATTTTACATGGTTTTTACTTTACCTCTTTCTGAATCTAAATCATCATGTTTACACTTCACCACATTCTGACTCTACATTATCATGTTTACACGTCACCACCTTGTTTATAATTTACCACGTTCTGACTCTACATTATCTTGTTTATACGCCACAACCTTCTCACTTTGGTTTTGTGTTTTTTTGTGTTATCTACAGAATCATTGTTGGGTCTTTCTTCATTCATGTCGTAATGTTTATATTTTCTCTTTCAGATTTCGTGCTAAATTAAAGGAAATAAGTAAAACCATCCAAAGCAGAAATAAATCGAGAAAGCATCCTTATGATATTCTTGATCCAAAATTAATTCCGAATTCTATTAGTATTTAAAACTACTATATCCATTAAAACTTATGCTCTAACTGTATCGCTATATTAAAGATGCATTATGTTAGAGCTAGATCTGCTTATTGCAGGTCCCTGTTAAATGGATTAGAACACTCACGAGGTTTAAAAAAATTAACGATAATTTGGATAAACGAAACTATGAAAATAAACAATCTAAGCTACTACTTAAGACACTAATAACTTTGTTTATGATAAAGTAATTTGAATGAAATTGTCTGTATTCATTATCGATTTTCGAACTACTATAATAGCAAGCTCTTAATCTAAATCTTACACACTGCACCTATAATTGAAATAAGAATATTCGGATCATATATTTTTTTTTATATTTTAGACTATTTTATTAATAACTACATGCTATTCCTGTAATTGTAATACATAGTATATTTTATTATATTGATAGAAAAAATAATATTAAAATTATATATTTTTTTATATTTTAGACTATTTTATTACTAACTATACATGCTATTCGTGTTATTTCATAACAAAATATATATTTTATTTTCATATATATATCTTAATAATTAAATATCTATTCTAAATATTTACCTTTATATGGTTTTACTAACTACGTCGTATTACTTACTTCCATGTCTTATTGCAAACAAATTATATATTTTTTATGATTTTAGTCAAAAATATGTAAAACCTGTATCACTTACATCCGAATACAAACGCCTTTAGATGGAGTCCATAATGGTTATTAACTCCCTTTGACAATGTAACTCAACCGCCATAATAGCGCCTTTAATAAAGGAAATAGAAACGGTATGAACGAGCCTCACATTTAACGACTGGTTCCACTCGCAAGTGTCCAAGGAAACATGTTGCTGCGATATCATCCTGGGGGGACGAGGAAGTTAAGCCCGACTTCAATTCGAATAACGTCAAGTCAAAAAGTATAATCATAATGGTATATTATTTAACTCCGATTTATATTTAGTTCAAAATATAAAACATTAAATTAGAACTTGTATTTGGATAAAAATGTATAATTATATTATCTAAACCGTCACTTGAATTCAATTCAAGTCGTGTCATGATTAAAATAGTTTTCTAGGTTGAAAGGGATGTTTTCGGAAATACTCGGTTATCGGAAGTCACGATGACTTACTGTGTAAGGCACTGACACACTAACCCGTAGGTCCGGGGTTCGACCCTGGTGCTCGTCGAGAAAGTTCGCCGGAATTTTCCAGCGTTGTTTCCTCTTGTCAGTGGGTGCAGGATGGATGGCCTGGCAAGGACAGTGTCTAGTCGTTCGAATAGGTAAAAAACGGAGGTCCCGTGTACAGGTTGACGTGTACCGGGCAAAATTCCTCTCATAGTACACTGTGTGCCATAATATGCCAATCTTCATTAGCCCAGAACAGTACGACGTTAAACCCCATTTCCTTTCATTTCACTCGGCTGGTGGGAAGACCTGGTTGTATAAAAATCATCAAACTGCATCCTAATATATTAATGTCAGTGTGCGTCAATTGCATATCAAATTTTCCACGGCTTAATCAGTGCTAAATTTATTTGGATTTACAAACCACGGTATATAATATTCTCTATTATGTAATGTATCAGATATTTTGGGGATTTTAATTTTGATCTGACCTCTGCAATGGTGTCATTAAATGTAATAAACATAATTATATATCATACATAGTTTATTATTTATTCGTATTCAGTGATATTTAGATTTAGTTTTCATGGGACTGAGCATCTTCAATAGAACGCTTGATGTTAATTTAAATCAGAACTCGAGGTCGTTGCTTCAGGAACATGGGAGCTGTGTTGTTTCGGCTTGCATCGCACAATTATAATTTTGAGAAAATGTAAAAAATAATATATTTATAGAGCATCTAGAAATCTAGAGAGTGGGTTTTGTGACCTGACTTCAATCTGTTTCAGAGAGGTAATGCAAAAGCCTTCTTTTAACTCTGTACAAGATGACTGACCTTTAAGTTCACGTGCAGTATAGGTCACCATACGATGCATTGTTTACATCAGACGTAGTAGCACAAACTGGTCCGTGTAGAATTGATGCCTTTTACTCATTTTAGAATTTAATTTGCACAAGATAAAAGAAATGAGAGCTAATTAACTAGTCCCAATGTCATCCCTCTCAATGATAGTAGCAGCAAAGCGAATATTTACAGCTGATTGTCATTCCTGTAGTCCAGTGTTCCCAGCTGTAAATAAGTACCGGTTGGATGGTGGACGCCTTTACACAGCATGGGTTGGGGCTCTTTCTAGTCGTATGTCAAGTGCCTCGTGGGTTTTCTCCGGGTCCTCCTATTTCTAAAGACCCCTACGCTAAGGTGAATTATTGGAATAAAATTGCATAGTGTTAAATCTCATTCCTCTCTTCTGATAAAGTGGGTGGTGATGGTGGTGTGTGTGTTGGGGGGGGGGGGGGGTAATTTAGGCTTACCTGCTTATTTTCGACCAGATTAATAACTGGACCACTCTTTAAGTACAACACTTACTGGTGCGGATAAATATACACATTATTGTTATTACAAAGGGTATCCGCGGATTAACATGGGTTTAATATGTACATGGTGACCCAAAGAAATATCCTCGAAGCTTTTGCTCAAAACGGAGTAGGTCGCTAAGAGAGGTAAAATATTAGCAGTAAGCAAGTCATAAAGAATCTTGGCTATTAAAAATGAAATGAAATGAAATCGGGTTTAACGTCCTACGGCACGGACTGGGCTAACGCCATACAGTGTGCTAGGAGTGAAATTTAGCCCACACAGCGGCGCTACGGCCTACTCTTATTTCGAACCTACTGTCAAGGGTTCTTTTACGTGCACACCAATGTGTTCACAGAACCTCGGTTGTTTTACCAATCCGAATGACTATACATTTTCTCTTGCCAAGAGGGCCAAGTATAGATAGATGTACAAAGATTGACCTTAACATTTCATAGGTATTATTTAATGAATTGTGTAACATAAGTGATATACGTATACTATATTATGTAAAATAATGTGGCCTAATGTCTTCTGTCGTATATAAAGCAAACCTTATCATCAATTCAGAAGTTTACTTGGAACGAAGTTAATCATGTCAAGGGGATTATAGATAGATGTACAAAGATTGACCTTAACATTTCATAGGTATTATTTAATAAATTGTGTAACATAAGTGATATACGTATACTATATTATGTAGAATAATGTGGCCTACTGAACTGTGGTCACGTTGTAAGATAATAATAAAGATGAGAGATACTTCTAACTGCCATATTAAATTTAAAACAATTAATTTGAATAACAAAAATATCTATACTATATCAAAAACAAATATTTTGGCGTCTGATGGTCACGGTATTTGTTTTTCCATGTGTTATATTGACCCAGTGTTTCTATCACGGCCAATTAAATTAAAATAGTTCCTTTTTAATAAGAAAGAAGTTACTTTTAATAAAAAATGAACTGTTCTTTGAAAATAAAAAAAGTAGTTCCTTTTTATTGACCAATCAAATTCATATCCTTAGGAGATATCGCAGTAGATTATGAAATTTATCACACAAGCGATATCTACTGTAGAATGTATTTTTGGGTGATAATCAGATTAATCTAAGGTTGAAGTTCCAGGTGTTTTTAATTGAGAAAGTAAAGGTTGATTTTTTTTCAAATTAAGATCTAACCAATGTTTGCAAATCTTACTTTCTATCAGACCCTCTATCTAGTGTTATAGTCCCTGCATTTTACGCAAAATGTGAAATACCTATGAAGTTTTTTTATCCTCCAGATGAAACTTTATAAATATGCTAAGGATCAAACTATCTTGAATGAGTTAGATTTTGGTGCGCGATTGGGTGACCAAGATTTAAATGGATAAAACCATTATCAAGGATTTAATATGTAACGATAAAATTGATAATCCAATACCGATGCATAATAATAAACAATCTTCGATATATACTATTCAAAAAAAGTAGGGGATATTTGATTTTGGGGGCATAATACTAAAATATGCAAATGACTACGAAAAAAGTCACTATAGAACCTAACAGAAGAAACATTTCCAGTTACATGTGACGCCCAAACGCACCAATAGCTACCGCATGGAATGCAGGTGATGCTTGGGATCATCATGGGGGTCCAACCCAAGATTTGCACGACTCTGACTTTGAATGTTACAGTCATTGTGGCATTGAATTCCAGGGTGGAAACATCAGTTTAATTGTTTTAGTGACCAGAAAACAAATTTTGATATGCGTCGGCTTACCCAAAATGAAAGGTTACGTGCCCTTGGCATGCTACAGATCGGCACAACACAGGCGGTTGTGGCGCGGACGATGAATGTTTCTCAGTCTGTCATAAGCAGGCTATGGTCCAGATACCGTGATACACAATCTGTACAGGACAGACCACGCTCAGGTCGACCAAGGGCGACAACTCAAGCCCAGGATCGATTTATCCGTACCTTGGCCTTGAGAAATCGTGTCATCACAGCAAATCAGATCAGCGCTCGTCTTCAAACAGACACTGGTGTGAGAGTGAGTGGCCAGACGATTCGGAATCGACTGCATAGGGGTCACCTTCGCGCCCGACGTCCTCGCGTGATCCCTTGTTTGAGAGATCATCACATTCAGGCAAGACGTCGTTGGTGTAGGGATCGTCAACACTGGGATAATCGACGCGGGAGCAATGTGATGTTTTCAGATGAGTCAAGGTTCACTGTTGATTTTTTGGACAGACGTAGGAGGGTGTGGCGTCGTCGAAACGAGCGCTTCCAAGACGTTAACGTCATCAGACATGATCGATTTGGGGGTGGTTCTGTTATGGTGTGGGGAGGCATCACTGTTGCTGGAAGAACGGCTTTACATGTTGTTGCAGGGCGTGTTACAGGCCAGTACTACCGGGACAACATCTTGGCAGTCCATGTTGTGCCGTTCGCACGACGTCATGGCCGCCGTTTCATCTTCCAGGATGACAACGCAAGATGTCACAGGGCCAGGATCGTTACAGGTTACCTCCAACAACAGAACATCACCACATTACCTTGGCCAGCACTGAGTCCCGACCTCTCCCCCATCGAGCATGTCTGGGACATGCTTGGACAGAGGTTACGTCAACGTCAACAACGTCCTGCCAATGTCCAAGAACTTGCTGCTGCGTTGCAACAGGAATGGGACAGTCTGGACCAAAATGACCTTAGACGTCTCATTAGGAGTATGCCACGTCGGATCAATGCTTGTTTGGCAAACAGAGGAGGATTTACCCGTTACTGACTTGGTTGTGATGCTGTGGTAACTTTGCTGTTTGACCCCGGGTATCATTTTACCCTTATAATGGTCAGTCTGTGCCTTACTTAGTCTAACGATCATTTGGAATAAATCGATGAATGTGAACTTCATTTCATTTTGTCATTTGTTTCTTCGTCAGTTTCATTAGGTGACTTTAATAACACTTAAAAATCAAATATCCCCTACTTTTTTTGAATAGTATATTATGTCAAAACTTCAAAGACTGATAACTTTGTTCAGAATAGAGAAATTTGACTGAAATTATCAGTATATTCATTTTTCATTATCTATTTTTGAACTATTATAACAAGAACGACCAGTTATGTATCTGATTGTTAGATAATGCATCTTTAATGTATGGACAATTTGTGGATCTGGTATACTGGTATATATTTAATGGACAAACAATCTAAGGATCTGGTATATTAGAATATATTTAATGTACAAAAAATCAATGGATGTGGTATAATAGAATATATCTAAACATACATTATGCAAGAGCTAAATCTGTTAATTGCAGGTCTTTCTTTAGGCCTAAAATGTTATCTAAATTATTAATTAGATTTTAATTAACTTATCCAGACCCTAATCAAGTCCCATTTGCTGCTCGACTTTCATTCATAATTTAATCATGAAATGTATGATCGAGACTATGTTATTTTATCGTACAGACTTTAGTAATGATGATCGAGGCTAGGCCGAAATTTCAATCCCTTAATTCTCGGTTCATAGTGGATCAATATAACTAGTTTTTAACTATTATCGTGAGAACTGCCAGCTCTTTATCTTATCTTCCATAATGTATCTTTAATTTATGAACAATCTATGGAGAATATATTTAATGTATAAACAGTCAATGGATGTGGTATAACAGTATATATTTAATGTATAAACAATATATGGATGTGGTATAATGTATAAACAATCTATGGATGTAGTATTATGTTTTGTCAAACAATCTACGGATGTGGCATTATAGAATATATTTAACTAGCAGAATGCCCGGCTTCGCTCGGGGGTCATAACCCCGAAACCGGAAGTGGTAGACTAACGCCACCTGGCCTATGTTACTCCCCGGTCCGAGCTACCCGTATATCCCAAATTTCAGACTCGGGGCAGACCTAGTGTAGCCGCCAACCCCGAACAGACAGACAGACAGACAGACAGACAAACGACAGTCACAAATATTAGTATAGATGTAATAACAATCGATGGATGTAGTATAATATAATATATTAATGTATAAACAATCTATAGATCTGGTATACTAGAATATATTTAATGTACAAACAATCAATGGATGTTGTATAATATAATATATTTAAAGTATAAACAATCTATGGGTGTGGTATTATGTTTTGTCAAACAATCTACGGATGTGAGAATATATTTAATGTAATATATAGATTTATAGATGATGTAATGTGCAATACAACAAATTTAAAAATAACCATTTCGAATATTTAATATGATACAATATTAATAGTGAGGTTATTCTTAAGACATAATATATTATATTAATAGTCTAATTATTCTTAGATATATGATAAAATATATGATAAAATATATTAAAGTCTCATTGCGTCATTTAATAGCGATATGAAAACAGCTATAATGTAAAAGATAAATCTATAATAGGAATATTTGTCTAAAAATGGTTAAATTCCCTTCAGTATTTACAAAGATATGTTGAATTGAAATTTGATTTCATCGCTTGTAATAAACAAGAAATAATGAATTTTTGGGCAGATGAAATGACTGGTTAAACAAAACAAATGATATTATGTTAAGAGACGAAGAGGCCAGTTCAAATAAAATACATGATACTATATTAAAAGATGAAATGGCTGGTTATATAAAATGCATGATATTATATTAAGATATAAATGTACATATGAAGGATTGACTGTTTGACAGAAATACATGATAATAATATGGGAGGAAGAAATGGAGATATTTGTCGCACAGAGAAACTTAGATTATGATAAAAAATGAGAGATTATATATTTTGATTAATATATTGTTTTAAATGATGGTTGGGTACTGGGTCGTAGCAATCCCATGCCCCTTTTGTCACAAACAATTCACTAGAATAATAGTCTTCAACCAGGCCTCTGAATTCTATTTTCGTCACCATGTATTCCCATTATATCGTCACATTATCGCGGTGGAATTTCACTCGGTCGTCACGTGATAACTTCTATGTTAGACATTTGTGTCAAATGAATTAGGTATCAATATTAGCTTTAGTTCTGTTTAAATTAAATTTAACAACAATCTATGCGAATGCTATCATCTTCCTATATTAGGGTGCCCCACCATAAATCAATATCTCCAAATATTTCGACAATTATACCACAAAACAAGATTTTTACTTACTTTCTCACATTTATAATCCCCAAATAAACGGTCGTGTTGTATTTAATAAGTTATAACCATTTAACATCAATAAATCTTTAAAAAAATGATTGAAAAAGTTTACAAAGCGACGAGATTACAATCGGGCAGTTTTGAGTGCAAAATAGGTTACGTGCCCTTGGTTTGAAATTAGTTCCTCTTAACCAGTTTACCGACCGTTCTCCGCTGATTGACAGGCCGGGATAATCAAGACAATTTTCTACGAAATATTACAGAAAGCTAGATCAATAAATCTAATTTAGAAACACACACGTTAGGTAACTCAACGTTTGTTTTGAGAACCCTGTAAAAGCAAAAGGAAAATACTACTAGCTTCGGGGATATTAATTTTACTAAAACCAGAGGACGGCGCCCATAACGGTATAGTTCATAATAAAGCAAATTAAAAAACAAAATGAACTTTACTTTCTAAAGCTGCTGTAACAACTAAACAGCTCAATATTACTATTATTCAGAATCGTTAACAATGGATTTTTACGGCTTCAATAGTTGATAGATGTGTTGAAAATTTTACGTGCGATGGCTATTTATTGCCTCATAGAATATAATGCTGAATATTCTCGTGCGAGCCAGAAATCAGTTCGGGACTCGTCACTGGAGCGTGCATAATCGCTGTAGTGAGTTAAACTTTTGGCTGCATGGGGCACCTTAATGGCTATGTCCACGTCGCCCGTCAATACTGGTAAGTTGCTACCTATCTGAACTACTGATAACTTGCTACCTATTTGAACTTAATAATTTGCTTCCTATATGAACTGATAACTTGCTACCTACATTAACTACTGATAACTTACTACCTGTATGAACTACTGATAACTTGCTACCTGTATGAACTACTGATAACTTGCTACCTATATGAACTTAATAATTTGCTACCTGTATGAACTGATAACTTGTTAAATATTAAAAGGTACCTTCTCAAAAGCGAAGTGATATCAGGAAACGTGAAGCGATGGTTTCGATCGTATGACATACGTAGTGATTCGCCATTGTTAATTTGCTTGAAATCATCCGCGTCTGTCGCGACACCTCGCCGACTTGTAAGTTGAACACCCACATCCCCACCGACCTCATGTTCCTGAAGCAACGACCGCGAGTTTTACAACATCTACACGTTGCTAAAGTGCTTTGCAATTCCCGGACTAAAAGCTACGTTATCCCCCTTTCCGACACACACGTGAACAGTAGCGTCCAATCAGAGGTTGTGACACAAACACACTCAAATCAAACATGTCGACCTTGGCATTGAACGAACCTTGAACTTTGAAACCTGATTATCACGGGTAGACATTTTAGCTGCAAAGCGCGCGACTTGGTATTTGCGATGATTAAGAAATCTGACAGGCCCCCAAGCTGGGTCAGTACCAATCAAAATTAGAGCCGAAATATGCGGGGTATTACGTGAAGGCCTTGATAAGATCAAGCCTTCTACTGAAGATGTACCGACCTATGCATTTAACAAATTTAGAAATGTGTAGTAACTATACTACATAGCTCTATAGAACTTAAATGTAGTAAATGTAAATGTACTATACAACTCTATAGAACTTACATGTAGTAACTGTACATGTACTATAAAACTCTATAGAACTTACATGTAGTAACTGTACTATAAAACTCTATAGAACTTACATGTAGTAACTTTACTATACATTAACTCTATGGAACTTTGATGTTGAAGTTGTTATACAACTTCTGTAACTGTACTAAACAACTCACATGTGAAGGAAACAGAAACTCTCCCTCCCTCTCTCAGAATATCATAGAAGCCTTTATAAGGTCGACATATTGTAATTTTTGCGCCTTTAAATATAAGGAACATGATCTTTTCTTCCTGTTGAATCTTTGTTTTAAAACACCAGAATAAAGCTGTCATATTGTCATCGTCAGTATAATTTACATCGTATCCTGCATCATTGACTAAAACCTTTATTGTATCTAATATTCCCAGGTAACAGCTATGATGTAATAGATAACTACATTTACCATAGTCGTCCACGTCCTTAAAGGAATCTTTATATGGTCGACAAATTATTATCCTAGCACCTTTTGAAATCAGAAAACTGATCTTTTCCATCTTTTGAATCTTTGATAACAAACACCGTAATAATGGGGAATCATCCTTGTAAAGCGACTCATTAACACCTAACCCTACTTCATTCACTAGAAATTCGACAGTTTCAAAGGTACCATTAAAACAACTTTGATCCAGTAAACTTACACCATTGTTATCCACAGCATGTAAACTTACCCCTTTTGATGACAGGAATTTAAGTTTTTTTACAGGACTCGTGATCGAAACAGAGCAGTATATTGCCTGTGTGAAAAATGTATTGTATTTCTGACTGACATCCATCCCTACTTCATTCACCAGATATTGAACAGTTTCAAAAGTACCATCTTGACAACTAGTATGCAGTAAACCCCTATTATAGTTGTCTATAGTTTGTAAACTTACACCTTTTGAAGATAAGAATTTTAGTTTACTGATTGGATTTACGCTAGATATAGAACAGTACGCAGCTGGTGTACTACCTTCACTGTCTTTTTGGTTAACACCCAACCCCACTTCATTCACCAAGTATTCAACCGTTTCAATAGTACCCCACCCACAGCTAACATGCAGTAAACTCGAATTATAGTTGTCTACAGCATGTAAATATACACCCCTTGAAGACAGGAATTTCATTTTTTTGATGGGGGTTATATTAGACCTAGAACAGGCCTTAATTGGTGTCATACCTTCATCGTCTCTGTGACCAACATCTAGTCCCACTTCATTGATTAGATATTTCACAGTTTGAAGTGTACCGACTATACAACTAACATGAAGTAAACTACGGTTTCTATCATCAACAGCATGTAAGCTACACCTTTTTGACAAAAAAAACTTGAGTTTTTCGACAGTATCGATATTCGCCATCACAGAATAAAATACCGGAATTTGCCCTTTCTTGTCTTTTTGATTTATGTTTAACCCTATTTCATTCACCAAATAACGGACCGTGTCAATAGAACCATGTTTACAACTGTGGTGTAGAACACTACAATTATTGTCATCTACCACATTGAAATCCATACCTTTATCATGTAAAATTCTCATTTTATCAACAGAAGAACAGCACATGAATAAAATATTTTCATCAAAATGATTGATATTAATTTCATTCGCATTATTTAAAATAGATCTAAACATCGAGCCATCAAGTAACTTTGTTGTTTCAAGAATTATGGTCTGGATATACTTGTTCGGCGTATCAAAAGACGGCACCATTTTAATTAGTATTTCGAAACACTGTTTGTCAACATTAGATATTATTTCTAATATTGGAATTCGACCGACGTTATCAGCCTCTTGTAATAGTGACCCGGCTTGGATTAACTGACGTAGAATATGAGCTGCATCGACATCCGTTCTACCGCCGAAAGAGCTACTAATATTATGAATGGGTAATCTGCCTGTATTATCCTTCACATTAACCTCCGCGCCGCTGCTGATCAAACTGGATACAGTCTGTGATTTGCCTCGCGCAACAGCCAGGTGAAGTGGCGTACTGCCACTTTCATCTTTAGCATTTACATCAAATGCCGTATCTATCAGAAAATTAATTATTTGACGATTGTCGTGCTTTGAATCACAAGCATTGTGAAGAACTGTTCTTGACTTAGTATCGAGTTTGCTTTTGTCGAAGTTTGTGAAATTACTGATATTTTTAACAGTGTCAAATTTATCTGAGTAAACCGCTAAATGTGGTAATGCCAAAAAGTCTCCGATTTTCTTTTCTTTTAAAAGATTGGTTTTTTCGATAGGGTCATGCATGGAAACAGCAGCGAGGCTGATGATATCCCATCCCATATCTGTTTTTTCCTCAACTAATTGGGGTAGCCGAATTTGAAAATAAAAAAGGGCTGCTTCGAGACATCTCATGTCTCCATGAAATGTGATGTAATGAAGAAAATTGCCACTTTCCTGTATTTCACGAATATCTCCCAAATTTATAAATATGGTGTCGTGCAAAAAATTGGCTATATCATTCATATCAAGAAAATGTTATAAAAATGTACAGTCAGTGAAAGCAGGATGTCTGAAGATATCAGCATTCTTATCCTGTAATTCTTTAATACATCGCATTGAAAGGTCATCGTAATAGCTGTCACGGATTATAATGCATCGATCGTCTTGGTCGTTTGTTCTAACCAGTGCCATCAAAAGCTCAAAAGAACAGTATTGTAAAGCCATTTCCATGCATTTACCAGAAAGATGGTGTAAAAATGGAGCCTCAACAAAGTCTCGCAATGAAAATATTTTCACATAATTTTCTTGAATGTGTTTGATGAATGTATCTGAAAGTTCATTGAGTTTACACTTAACATCTTTCAGTTTAAATTCTTTGCATATGTCTTGATTAATTGTCGAAATTAATGACTGGACGATCGCGGAAGATCTCTGTTTGAGGTCTTTTTCTGAAACTTCATGCAAACAAAATACTAGCAGTAATGTAGCATATATATCTTCATTTTCCTTCCAAAACGTTTCTAATTCCAAAATAAGAAAATCATGCGAACTATCGAAAACCTCCGGTATTTTATCATTAATTAACTTACTACACAAACTGACAATTGCCAGAAAACCGAAGCAGTCAGAAATTTTGGAAATTATCTTATCAGAAGTTACTCTATAAAAACCTAAAAATTTGCTTTTTTCTTCAGCGCTTAAAGAAAAGTTGCTTTTATGAAGAAATATTTGAGTTGTCTTTTTAGTATTATCCAAAAATAAATCATATTTGTCTAATTGATATTTAGAAGAATGGTAAATATAATCTCTCATTATATAAATGATAACTAAATTGCCTCTTTCTTTGTTAATGCGAAGAGTACCGAAATGGGTGGGCCATTTATCAATACGTGCATGTAATTTATTAAATTTACCATACATGTCATCGATGATACATAGATACTTATCGTCTAGAAAGTTTACTTCCTTTAAATCATCCATGCCATAAATCAATAATGGTTTATATTCAGGACGTTCTTCAATGAACTGATTGGCTATCATCATTGATAGAATCGATTTACCATCTCCCGCCGCTCCCATAATTCCTAGGATGTGATGACTCTTCAGTATCTTCAAACCTTCACTAAGAGCACGAGTCTTTACATATTTCTTTTCTTTAACATAATTAAGGTTGGTCAGTGCTTCGCCTGAAGACAAACATTTTAGTTTATTGAAATGATAAGTTACACAATGGTTCACAACAAATTTGAAACAGATCTGTTAAATACAGCTGCCTCCATTACACTTTTCGGCTAATGGGGCAAAACTCTGGAATGAAAGGTTGCGGAAAGCTGATTATCGACAGGGACCGTCTTCGCATGCTTCAAACGAATTTGAAAAAAAAAAATCTGTTACATATTATAGTTCCTATCGCATTCACAAGGTTTTCGAAACGAAAGGTCTCGGAAAGCTGATTATCAACAAGTTTCGTCTTCGGATGTTTCAAACAAATTTGAAAACAATTTGTTAAAATTTATAGCCCTATCGCGTTTACAAGATTTCCTGAACGAAAGCTCGCGGAAAGCTGATTGTCGACAGGGTTCGTCTTCTGATGCTTCAAACAAATTTGAAAACAATAGCCTCTATCGCGTTTACAAGATTTTCTGAGCCAGAGGTCGCGGAAAGCTGATCATCGACAAGGTTCGTCTTCTCATGCTTCAAACAAATTTGAAAACGAAATCTGTTAAACATTGTAGCTTTTATCACGTTTACAGTGGCTACAATTTTTTTTATCCTATTGATGAGTCCTATTGATTCCTCCGACCATCTCTTGCAAAATATAGGCGTATGGCAACCGGTTGATATCAGATGGTTGTGAAAACTTGTTTTCTTTTTAGGTTATAACTATTATATCATTGTAATAGCATGGGTGTGTGTGTGTGTGTGTGTGTGTGTGTGTGTGTGTGTGTGTGTGTGTGTGTGGGGGGGGGGTGGTCTGTATCCTGGCATATGAGCAAGCTAATCATTGGAATAGAATTATTTTTTTTGGAATACATTTTAACTTGTCTGAACATATATATTGTTTTTTTCTTCTTTTGAATTCTAGTAAATCCTACCTTTCATTGTGTGCAATCGTGAACTATCAACACCCCTTTTACCTGAAATTGATGCGAATATTAACATTGACTGTGTACGCGTACATATATCTCAAAGACATTGTTAGATTATTTGGTTGGAGTTGGTGCAGTTTTTAATCATGAAATTGGCAAGGATGTCTAGGGGAGCAAACTCCCATTTGCAGCATCGACAGAAATGAAATGAAATGGGGTTTAACGTCCTACTGTTCTGCCAGCACCGACAGAAATTTAAATGTTATGTTACGAGTTTATTATTAGGAGTACTATTTTAACGTTCAGAGCTTTCTGCAATAAAACATCATTCTCCGTTACTAAACTATGTCCCTTTGTATAAATAAGTAAATAATGACCATCTTTTACAAGACATTTAATTTATATTTCGCCAATTGGTTTTGTATTAAATGATGGAATTTTTGGATATTACAAAAATGGAAATAAACTCTACCCGCGCAACACATCCTGATCAAATGTTATGTGAGGCATGAAAAATGTACTACAAATTATGTAGATTCCACAATTTAAAATATGGCCATGATAATTATTACAAAGATTTAATTTACTTACCGAAGTAATCGTCAAACCGAGGCGGGTTTAATCTTTGACAGCTGTCCTGTTAGTATAAAATAATTATATTAACAAAAAATTTTGTTCAGGGCAATCACCTTTACATTGACGGACGGGCTACACATCTATAACAAGCAAAATATGAATCAATGTACTTCTATTCGATTTACATGTTAACAGAACTGACCGATATTTGATATGATTTATCTGATTTTTAATATTCCAGGGTCTGGTAGATAATGGAGGGGGGTCGATGTTGCGATAGAGACATCATTCAATACATACCTGTAACCCTGTCAATAATGTTTCATCTGTAGTAATACCTGATCTGTTTGGCCCATCTCCGCAAAAACCTGCGATTAGAATATATTCCATTGTAATTGGTAAGAAAACCCCCAGCGATAAGAAATATAAACAAATAAACGGAGATTGGACTCTTCCACGACAAGGGTCGGTATGAAATGTTTGCCGGTATCCCTCTCTCAAATCATTTTATCCACAAGAAAATACCCAAAGTCGTATAATTCTCAATCTGACTAAAACATAGATCCCATTTCATTTCGTTTTTATAGTTTAAAATTTCGTTTTACTTGCCTTCACTAGACTAGGATTTGGAAGAGTTGTTATATAACCCGCGTTCTGGTTGATATGAGTGATTAGCCAATAAAACGGTCTGTTGTTGCAAGTTCTTTGTGTGCGTACACTTCATGTAGTGGAGGCAATCGAAAGTATAAAAAATGAAACGAAATATAGATCTGTATTTCAATCAGATTGTAAAAATGTATTCTGAGGATCCTTGTATGTAACGTGACTTGGTTGATAGAGAGTCCATTTGTGGTTTGTGTTTGTCGTTACTCGTTGTCCATTTATAATAAATGTCGAAGACAGTTAAATTCTTGGATTATCCTCTTCTCTTATTACAGAGTCGTTTATGTCTCTCAGTGTTCTCACAACAGCTAGCCATTCGATCAACACATAATAATATTCAAAATTAAAAATATGAATTAGAATTCCATATTGGTAAATTTTAATCAATATTGATTTTGTTATCTTGCCTGAAAGTATTTGATCCAAATATCTAATATTATGGACACGATGGTTAGCGCGTCCGCGTTGTATCTGTCATTGCGTCAACTGGTGTGGTTTCGAATCCTCGGTTGTAAGTGAAAAGGAGTAGGGTCACCTGTCCAACCTCGTGGGTTTTCTCCAGGTCCTCCGGTTTCCTCCCACTGCTAAAGACCCCCACGCGCAAGCGAAGTATTGAAATAAAATTGAACCATATGTTAGTCCCGAAATGGCCTAGTGTGTGTCGAGTTGAGGTAAACCCCCTCTCTCTATATATATCTCTCTCTCCCTCTTATCTATCTATCTCTCCCCCCTCTCCCTCTCTCCATGTAATAGAGCTAATTCTTTTTGCACAGAACAAAAAGAAACTTTTTGTTTTTGCTAGTATTGCAATTTTTTTTTTACATTTGTCTTGGTGCAATTTAGATGTTACAATCAGCATTCGCAGCATTGGAGATGTAAAAGCACTATTATATCAACATAGCACTGACTTTTTACTTAAATCACCGTTATATAACAATAGCAACCGTTCGTCATATTTCTTGAAATTTATTGTAGATAACAAACTTTTACTGTAATTATATAAACTAATACGATTCTAGTCTGAACTGTATGTGTTGTGAATTGACATTTCATTTTTAACAAATCAATTTTATTATAATAATATCATAACTAACTTGATATTAATCGTCTAACAGCTGCGGAATAACCATTTTCCTTTAATGCATCAATAAATTTTCCATAAGCTGTGTCACCCGAGTATAAAACTATTTTCAATAGTTTAGCGGCAGCATCTGATTTACTACCCAAGACAGATCGTTCTATTATTTCTACATCATTATCTTCGAAGACAACTTTTGAAATAATAAACGAGCAAGACCAACAGGGTCATGTTTAATATCCTCTATAAGATAAGTATAATTATCCTGTATCCTGTTATATTGGTCATTAGGAATTTTCCAGTTCGAAATGGCATTTTGCAAGCGTTTTTCTAATGCACTATAAATATTCTCTCAACAACAATGTTAACTTCAGTTTTAAATCTTTGACTTGACCCTTTCTTTTTCTTCGTTTCATTCTATACATGAAAAGTACAAAAATAAAACATTTAAAGATGATAAAATAGGGTTAGATGTATATAAAATAGGTACTAGGCAAGAAAACACACGTCTACAGCAGCTAAGTCGTCCGTGAATTCACTATCAATCTGTCCTATTGTCAATCTTACGGTAAACATAGAGTTGGTGACTGGTGTTTGCATTTATTTTGTAATATCTTTGACGCGCTGAATTCATTCTATATATAAAGAAGGGAAGTAACTCTTTAAGTAAATTATTCTATATCAGGACCAGGGCTGTCGGTAATTTTTCACAGTTGATTAGCAGCACTGCTAATCAAAAAGTCCAATTTTGCCAAATTTGATTAGCAAATTTAAAAATTGATTAGCAGTTTTTCAGTTTCAATGTAAATAATTAGATATTACTTTAATTCATAACAAATATGATAAGATTCCATTCTGACTATTCTTAGATTTTTTTAGCACTGCCACAAGTACTTGTGACAGTTTGTAAATGTGATGTAGACATTTAGTTAGGTCTTATGTCTGAAGCCAATTCTTGACAGTGACTTCCGAAGACCCACTCATTTTAATTGTTATTTTTTTGTTACGTTAGAAATCTTCGTTAGAAAACGATCTCGTCTGCTTTTTATCGTGTATTACCATTTTTGTTCAATCGGGCGCACCTCGATTAACTAGACACACGCGATATAAACAATAATATTTTACGGGAATTTTTACTTTGATTTATCATTTTACAATACGTTAACATGTATTTATTTTTTTATATTTTATTTACAATACGTGCGATACACTGGAGTTATTTATTTCAAAATGAATATGATATAATTACTTGATGTCTCGCAACGTGAGTGCGACTACTTGATTCCCTATTTCCGGTTTAATCGTCCCTATTCATAGAGTTATGTCCCTGTGTTATATAGTATTGTGTCTGGGTAGTTCGAGAAGAAAATGTCACACGGAGAATTCAGTTTTGTTTATAAAATTTTATTCAACATTTTATACACGTTGAAAGTGTTGAGAAAGCCTTCTAGTCTTCAAAATGTGGATTATTCTTGTGACAATATCCAAAATGACAGGCACATTAATGATTCGCAGTAACTGCGAATCAAAAACGTCAGATTTTAATTTTTGGTTAGCAACGGACGAAATATGTATCGCAAATTGCGCTGCGATACTGGTTGTCGGCAGCCCTGATCAGGACGCAGACTAGCAATTATTTGCCCATTGACTTCAATGTTAAATGGCTGTAGCATCACAGCCTGTAGCCCTTTGTTCCAATCGTTATAGGCACAATGGGGACCACATTTGGCAATCTCCTCATCATAATTTTGTAGGGGCTTGATTTTTTGCTACGGGGATTTGAAGTTGACTAGGGTAAAAATCTCACTTCCGACACAATGATTGCTCTGCAGAAAGACACTTTACATCCCCTATCCCTCCGCTGTAATATCATCAGTATTACCCAAAACTGCTATGAAATTGCAAATTTGATCCCTTTTCTCCAATTATAGACCAAAAAGTCAACCCAAAAAATGCAGGATGAGGGGAGAAAAAAATTAAGGGAAAAATTGTCTATTTTTCACTCGCACTTTCATGAAATAGAGGGAAATAATTACTAGTTTTAGTCCTATATAAACAAGTAATTGTTATTCACCACAGTGATGGAATCAAAGAACATCAATTGAAAGATCAGATGATGACTTTCACTATTAAAGCATTCACACAATGTTACAGAATAACACATATACACACATGATGAATGTTTCTGTCACTGTACCTTTGACGAGATTCTACAAAATGTGCAAGGGTAATGGGATTTAAAGGAAATAATGAAAATTCGATAGGTTTCTTTGGCTCATGAATCTGGACAGTGCTTAATATACATTTTAGTCGCTAACCTTTGTCAGTAGAAAATTAATAAGATTTTCTGAAAAGAAATGAAATGGGTTTAACGTCCTACTGTTCTGCTCCGACTTGGCTAATGAAGACGGGTCTCGAAATAGAACATGTCATTTATTCAATATGATTCGGCGTCTCATTGCAGTGGAAATCAAATGAAATGAGGTCTAACGCTCTACTTTTCTGACAGATGATAATCATACACTAATTTATGAAAATTAGACGGTCGCAAACGCGTTTGCCTGCTATTTCAGCTCGTGAGTACAGCAAAAAATGATGAAACAATTAATGACGATTCCTGAAAAAAACAATACTATTCAAGAGTGGTGCTAGACACTGTTCATTAAACAGAATTTAAATACTTTACATTTTTAACC